ACCTGCGGAGAGGGAACATGTGAGCAGAAGTTGGGAGGGGTGTTTTGGGAGTGGTGGGGGGGATCTGAGGGGTGTTACCTTGGTGGGACACCCCCCTGAAGGCGCCGCACCCCCAGCTGGGGACACAGAGGATGTCTGCTTGGTGATGTCCCACCAAAGCACACCTGGGGGCAGCTGTGCTCGCTTGGTGGGCCCTGCGGGGGGGGGAACAGAAGGGTGAGAGGGAGCAGCGTGGGGCAGCCCCCACTCTAAATGTGCCCCCGGTGCCCACAGGCTCACCTGCCAGGTAGCTGAGCAGCACTCCTGCCAGCACAGTGGAGAGCGTCCCCAGTGCCCCGTAGTACAGATAGGAGATGGCATAGAAGTCACCCACGATGGGAGGCCTGCAGGGTGTGTGGGGGGGGGGGTGTTGGTGGTGACGTCGCCGCCATCAGAAAGGCAGTGTGACGTCACAGCGGACAAAGGAAAGGACAGTGTGACATCACAACGAGCAAGGACAGCGGTGTGGTGTCCCAGAGGACAAGGACAGCACTGTGACAGATGACGAGGCAAACTGGCGCGACATCACTGCGATCAAAGCAGCGCTGCGGTGTCACAGCAGTCAGCGACAGCGGAGTGACATCAGAGCGAAGAAGGACAGCGTGGTGATGTCACTGCGAGCAGCCCCCAGCCCACCGTACCGGAGCAATGGTGTGTCCCGTCCCCATCCCTGCTACCCGTCCCTTCTCACCTTGCAGGCTCTGTGCCGGGGCGCCGGGGGGGCAGTGGTCCCAGCAGCAGCGTGTGGTTGGTGCTGGCGGTGCGGTTGTAGAGCGGGCAGTGGGCTCCGGAGGCAGGCAGGACACCAGCAATGTCGGCAGGGGCCGGGTAGAGGCTGCCACCCACTGCCACCCACAGCGAGAGCGCGAGGCCGACACCCAGACCCCCGAACACACCCTGGGCGAGCAGTGGGGTCTGCATGGTGCTGGGACCCCCAGCCCCACGCCCCCTCCCCCCGTCCAGCACTCACAGCTGTGTTGCACGCCGGCACAAACATGCCCAGCATGAAGGCTCCCAGCAGAGGGCCGCCGATGACCCCCATGACGGTGAAGGAGCCCTGCAGGGGGACCCTGAGGTGCCTCGAGGGCTCTCCATCCCCCAGCCGTGTGTGATGGGCGCGGGTGCAGAGCAGGAGGGGTAGGGGGGGCTGGGGAGGACTCACCTGCAGCACACCACCGCCCAGCAGCGAGGCCAGCGCAGCCACCGTGATGCAAGCAATGCCATAGAACAGTGCTGTGGGGACAGAGGGGTCGGGGGGGAGGGCTGTGACATGGCACAGCAGTGCTGCACGGCACAGTGCAGGACAGAGCAGCATGGCGAGGCACAGGGTGGGGTGCACGGAGTGGCACGGTGCAGCGCGTGGTGGCACGTTGTGGCACAGCGTGGCATAGGGCAGGGTGGCATCAGGGCCGTGCAGCAGTCCCGTCCTCACTCACACAGCCCCTTGGAGATCAGCATCAGCCTCCTTGGTGACAGCGTGGGCAGCCGGGGCTTCACCAGGTCCTCCACAGTGACGGCTGCCATGGCGTTGATGCTGGTGGAGGCGGTGCTGGGGGAGCACGGCATTCAGCCCCGCGCCAAACTGAGGGTGGGGACGGCACAGAGCCACCCCCTCCTTGGGGATGTCGGGGTCCCCAGGCGGCCTCACCTCAGGGTCCCGCTGTAGGCACAGGCCAGGAACAGTCCGGGTACCCCAGGGGACGTCTGGAAGATGTCGAGGACCAGGTAGGGCATGTACTGGGGGGCACAGCTGTGTCAGGGGGGCAGGCGGGACCCCTGTCCCCATCCTTCTCCCTGTTCCTCCTCGCTGCTCTCAACTGAGTGCTCAAGAGGACGGATCCGGTGCAGCCATACCTGGTCGGGGGCCGAGATGTGGCCGGCCAGGAGGGGGTCACAGTCCTTGTAGAGCACAAACATCACAAGGCCACAGGCCACCGCGCTGGAGACGATGCAGAAGAGCCCCACTTGATTGACCAGCAGCGCTCTGCGGGCACAGGGTGCGATCAAAGCACGGCTCGCCAGGCTCAGCAGGGCTGCAGGGGTTGGGCAGGGGTCACACAAGGCTGCAGGGGGAGTTCAAGGGTGCAGGAGACGTGCAGGGGTGCAGAGTCTGTGCAGAGGTGCAGGATGCATGCAGGGTGGTGGGGCTGGCTTCCCAGGGTTCCACGCATCCCAGCCCTGCAGTGCAACCCCTCACCCCCATGCCGGGGGTTTGTGCCCCCTGCTGCCCCTCTCCTCACATCCTCGCCTCCTTCTCGCTCTTGCAGGCCACGTAGCGCTGGACCTGAGCCTGGTTCACGCCGTACATGGAGAGCCAGACCAGCGTGCCGCCCAGCAGGAAGGTCCAGAAGGTGTAACGGCTCCGCGGGTCGAAGTCAAAGCTGGGGGCAGAGAGTGAGCAGGGGCAGTGCTGGCATTGCAGCACCTGGAGGGGGGGGTTGGGTGAAGGTGGGGGCATACAGGGACTCACTCTCCGAAGTTCACCCTGGAGCCGTTGGTGGCGATGGCCAGTGCCCTGGTGGGGCCCCCCACAAGCAGCAGCCCCCGGATGATGACGGCGAGGAACCCAGAGAGCATGACGAAGACCTGGAAGACGTCGGTCCAGATGACAGCCTTCATCCCGCCCTGCGCCAGCGGGAACACAGTGAGCGCCGGGAAGCCAGAGCCCACAGGACCCCCCTGGAGCCCCCGCTGTGCACTCACTATGGTGGTGTAAAAGGTGCAGATGGCGCCAGTGGAGAGCAGGGACGCCCAGATGTCCAAACCGGTCACTGAAGGGCAGATGATGGTGATAAGCGTCGGTGCTCGGGGTAGAGATGAGGGGACGAGGACGTGTGGATGCTGTCCCACGTGTGTCCCCCCCGTACCTTGGTTGAGGATCAGAGCAGGAGCATAGATGACGATCCCTGTGTACAGAGTCTGTGGGGATGGGGTGGGGGGTCAGAGCAACGTGCTGGTGCTGCGGGCGCTGGAAAAACACTCGGCTCTCCATTCCAAACAGCCATCCCGCAGGGATGTGTTTGCTTTGGAGCCACGGAAAAAGCACGTGCATGGGAACAAGGGGGCTCTTAGGGGCTGAACACAGCGGGGACCCCCATCCCTACATCCCCAACCTGGGACTCACCGTAGCCATCACGTACTGCAGCGTCCCGCAGAGCCGCACGCTCCGTCTGAACCTCCACTCCAGGTACTGGGAACAGAGAGGGAGTGTGCAGGTTTGGCTGGGAGAATCCCATCCCCTGCCTGCAACGCAGGGGGATGCAGACCCCCGTGCCTACCTCATAGGTGCTGGTGAGCCCCAGGCGGTAGAAGACGGGCAAGAAGAGGTATGCAGTGAGCAGCGTGTTGAGCAGCTGCCCCAGGCACATCCAGAGGAACTTGGAGCCGTAGCGGTACGCCTCAGCTGGCACCCCCAGCACCTGGATGGCTGACATGAAGCTGGCCGACAGCGAGAGCCCCACTGGCACTGCTGCCATGCGCCGGCCACCCATGAAGAAGTCCTCTGAGGTCTTCTGGCCTCCTTTGGACAGCCCGTGGAACAGCCCGATGCCCGTGGAGACGAGCAGCATCAGCCCGAACACGCCGTAATCCCAGAGGCTGAAGGTGAGGGGCTCCGATGCCCACACCTCCAGGCTGCCCGGTGGTGCCAGCATGGTGGTGGTGTGCGGATGGCCCCCCCCCCGGGCACACAGGGACAAGGACCTGCAGGTGGGACAGGGAAGGGGGTCCCGGTGTGTCCAGGGGCAGCGGCACTGCAGCGAGACAGAGCACGGGGTGGTTATCGAGGTGCGAGGTGCGGATGAGTGAGCATGGAGAGCAGCATCACTGCATCGCCATCCCTGAGCTCATCCCAGTGGAAAGGTGCAAAGAAGCAGCCGTGGAGAGCACCCCAAATACCACAGATACCCCAAATACCTCCCGATCCGCGGCGCACAGCGCTGCCCAGTCGCACCGCAGAGCGAAGCAGCCGAAGGACACGGCCGGGACGCAGAAATCCCCCAAACCCAGCGCAAACACGGAGCGCTGAGCACCACTTATCTCCCGCCGGCGACAAAACAAACCCAACCGAAACCTTTACCCAGCAAAAGCACCTCCTTTGCGAGCTGCTCCCCCAGGGGCTGGCAGGGATCCGGCCGCGACCTCGGCGGGCGCAGAGTGCCAGAGGGGCTGGGAGGAGGCAGGCTATGGCGTGGGGAGGGAGGCAGAGCTGCGTGGGGCCGCGGCGATAACCCCTTCCCTGCCGCCCACCCCTGCAGGGTCCAAGGCCTGAAGGCAAGGATGGGGCCATGGCTCTTCCCCTCAGGGTGCAGTGACAAGAGGGCCAGCCCTGCTTCCTCATTCCCAGGTATAAGAGGTGCTTTGTTTCACCCGGGACACGTTGGTCCCCATGCTTGAAAAATAGGGCTGCAACCCAGGAAGAGCTGCGACGTGGGGACTGTCCCCTCTGCCAAAGGATGCGCTGTCCCCACGGGGCACATCCTTGCGCTCCAGCACGTCGCACGGTACCTCGTCCCCAGGGTGTGTCCACATTGATGATGCATCGTGGCCTTGTCCCCATGGAGCAGCACCCCATCCCTGCCTCTCTGCTGCCTTGGCTTCTTTGGGAAGCAAAAAGGGGGAAAAAGCTGCTGCCCCGTCCCCCCCCCATACCCACCAGGCCACACAGCATTGGCACAGGCGCATGAGGCTCCTAAAAGGACCCAGAGGGGGTGGGCAGCTCCCAGAAGTCCTGGGAGGCTGTGAGCAGCGTGGGGGGAACAAGGGCTGCATGGGGCAGCATTGGGCTCAGAGCAGGGTGGGACAGGGTGGGACGTGGAGAGGTGCCCACCGCTGCTGCACCCACAGCACTGGCAGGGAGCAGGGGGATGCCCGGAGCAGGGGGTGCCATCTGCCCCTGGGGTGGCTCCTTAAGGCCCCCTGCCCCGTGCCCCCTCCCTGGTCAGGAAGTTCGCTGTGCTCAGAGACGCTGCGGGCAGGAAGGAAGTCACCATGGGGACTTTTTGACACTCGCAGCCACCTACGCAGCCCAAAAAGTGCAGCAGCCCCACCCAGGACAGAAAACACAGCACCAGCAAGGCCACCGGGACAGCACAGGTACTGTGGGACATGGGGGGGTTTGGGGGCTCCAGCCGACCCTCCTGCACAAGGATGGAGCCGTGTGCTCTCCAGGCCAGGTGTGATGCAGGGCGCAAGCGTGTCTCCGAGCTGGCTGCTGCAGAGCACCTAAAAAACAGCGGCGTGCCTCAGTTTCCCCATCTGCAAAACGAACACAGGGCAATGGGTCCGAGCCCCAGAGACAGCGTGGGGTTTTACCCCACGGCAAGGAAGGTCCCATTTCCTATGGGTCTCAGAGCACGGGGCACCGCGCTTGGGGACCCACCAGGGGGTGCGCAGGGAGCACTCTGAGCACTGCTGTCCTTGCAGCGCCCGCCATGGCCCCGCTGGGTGAGGAGACGCCGCTGATCGGCGAGCGCTCCTGCAGTCTGTCCTCCTCGGAGCCCGGCACGCTGCAGGTGTTCCTCTACCACCGGGCACCCCATGCTGCCCCCGACTCCACCGCCATCCTCACCTTCACCTTCGGCGAATACACGGCCGAGGAGCTGTGTGTGCGCGCTGCCAAGGCCTGCGGTGAGCACCATCCCCCGGCTGTGCACCCATCCGGCGTGGTCACAGCCACGAGGACGGCGCTGTCCCTCTGCCACCAGGCGTGCTGCCCATCTGCCATCCTCTCTTCGCTTTGGCCACGGAGGATCTCAGCTGCTGGTACCCCCCCAACCACCTCTTCACAGTGGAGGATGCCCGCAGCCAGGTGGTGGTGTATAGGATCAGGTGGGGACTCTCTGCTGGCTGATAGGGGCTGTGCGGCGCGGGACGCGGCACTGAGCCCAGCCAACCCTGCCCCAACAGGTTCTTCTTCCCCAATTGGTGTGGGCTGGGCCAGGCGCATCGCTTCCAGCTGCCCAGCGACCGCCCCAGCCCCGTGCTGGATTACCCCGTCATCGATTACCTGTTTGCCCAGGTGAGCCGTGCATCCCTGCCCCAGGGGTGTGCCAGAAACGGGCACGGAGCCGGGGGCTGGCCATGAATGACGGGGTAGGGGGGATGCAGGGTTCCTGCCTCAGCCTCGTGCACGGAGCCGGGCTCAGCACGGCTGGTGCACAACCAGGGCTTGCAGAGAGCAGGGGGCTTTGCCCCCACCCCGAGCTGTGTCTCTGTCCCCAGTCTCGCAGTGACTTCATTGCGGGGCGCATGGAGCTGGCACTGAGCCTGGCGGAGCAGGAGGAGTGCCTGAGCCTGGCGGTGCTGGACATGCTGCGCATCGCCAAGGAGAAGTGGCAGAGCCCCGAGCAGGTCTTCAGCTGCGTCAGGTGAGCAGAGACCTCACCTGGGGGGGGCGGGGGGGCACCTACCCCCCTCCTGCCTCATCTCCTGCCTCCCCCCGCCCCCAGCTACAAGTCCTGCATCCCGGAGCCGCTGCGGTGTCAGATCCAACAGCACAGCTTCCTCACCCGCAAGCGCATCCGCCGCCGCGTCGCGCAGTCCCTGCGCAGGATGGGGGGCTGCAGGGCGGATGGGCGCTGCCTGAAGCTGAAATACCTGCTGGACCTGGAACGGCTGCGGCGCTGCTGGGCTGAGGAGAGCTTCCGTGCACGCGGCCCCGACGCCGACATCACCATCCACGTGTCTGCAGACAGCGGGGTCTCCTGGAGCTGCGGCGGATCTGAGGTGCGGAAACCTCAACCAGAGGGTGAGGATGGGGTGGTCCAGCCACAGTGCAGGTGGGGGGGGGGGGGGGTCTGAGAGTGGATGAGCAGAGGGGAGGGGGGGGTCATGCGGTGGGGGGACACGCGTAGGGCAGCCCCCGGTGTCCCTGCAGAGCCGCCAGCACTTCTGTGACTTCCCCGACATCGCCGACGTCAGCATCAAGCAGGCGAGCCGTGATGGTGGCCCCGTGGAGAACCGCGTCGTCACCCTCACCAAGACAGACAACAGGGTGCTGGTGAGCTGGGGGGGGGGACCTGGGGGGTGCCAGCGGGGTCATAGCGTGCTGGGGGCTCACCTCGCTCTCACCCAGGAGGTGGAGTTCCCCACGCTGCGGGAAGCTCTCTCCTTCGTGGCCCTGCTGGATGGTTACTACCGCCTGACTGCAGATGCCCACCACTACTTCTGCAAGGAGGTGGCCCCCCCCCGGCTGCTGGAAGACATGGAGAACCAATGCCATGGGCCCATCAGGTGTGTGTGCCCCATCCCCCCAGGCTGCGGGGCTCAAAGCGGAAGGGAATTATTGAGAGGGGACCCCCATCCACCCACCCAAGGGGTGACGCTGTAGTGCCCACCGTGCTTGGGCAGCGCTGGGACGCACCGTGGGGTGTCCCTGCGATATCCCCCTCCCCACACCCAGCTGTGTTGCAGCTCTGAGTTTGCTGTGCGTAAGCTGAAGGCGGCGGGGGCCCAGCCAGGGCTGTTTGTGCTGCGCCGCAGCCCCCAGGACTTCGACAGCTTTCTGCTGACCGTGTGCACCGAGGTGGGGCCCAGTGCCACACAGACCCCCCCCCCCACGTCCTCTCCACGTGGCACAGAACCCAGCACCGAGGGGACAGTGCCACTGGTGTTTCCCAGCACCCCACGGTGCTGAGCTCGCTCTCTCCCCGCAGACACGCTCCGGGCAGGACTTCAAACGCTGCTTGATCCGCAGGGATGAGGATGGCAGCTTCTGGCTGACAGGGCTGGCAAGGCGCTTCTGCAGCCTGCAGGAGCTGCTGGGCACCTATGGGCGCTGCGGGCTGCAGGCTGAGGGTGCTCACCTGCGCCTGGAGACGTGCTGCCCACCTCTGCCCAGAGGTGACACCTATGGGCTATAGGGGCACGATGAGGGCAGGGGTTTGGGGGGGTGGGGGGTTGTGAAATGAGGTGTGTTGCTGTAAAAGGCGCTGTGTGACATCACAGTGCGGGCATTGTGATGTCAAAGAACGAGCATTGTGACGTCACGGTGCAGCATTGTGACGTCATAGCGAGCGGTGTGACGTCACAGAGCGGGCGTTATGACGTCACAGCCACCCCTCACATCCCTCCCCCTCCCCCCTCCAGAGAAATCCAACCTGCTGATCGTGCGCAGCGGCCGCCCGCGGCCCCCCAGCTCCCCTCCCGCCCCGCGCCGCAGCCCCAGCCAGCTGACATTCCATAAGATCGACCCTGAGAGCCTCATACGGGTACAGCAGGATGGGGTGGGGGGAGCCGGGGGTCAGGGGGGACCCTCCCAGCCCAACATGCCATCCCACGGCAGGGCGAGAGCCTGGGGCAGGGTTCCTTCACCCACATCTACAAGGGCATCAAGAGGGACCAGAAGGATGACGAGTTCTACCAGACCCCCGTGGTGCTCAAGGTGATGGACAGCAGCCACCGCAACTGCTCCGAGGTGAGCTGGGGGGCCCCTCGGCACCAACCCGCCTGCGTCCCGCCGCCCCCTGACCCCATCTCCCCCTCAGTCCTTCCTGGAGGCCGCCAGCATCATGAGCCAGCTGTCCCACAAGCACCTGGTGCTGCTGCACGGCGTCAGCCTCGGCAAGGACAGTGAGTGTCCCTTGTCCCCTGTGCCACGCTGCCACCCTCTGTGTGCACGCGTGGGACCGGCCTGCTGCCCCCTGCCCACAGGCATCATGGTGCAGGAGTACATCAGGCACGGGCCCCTGGACCTCTACCTGAAAAAGAACCACAGCGAGGGCAAGGTGACGACCAGCTGGAAGCTGCAGGTGGCCAAGCAGCTGGGATACGCTCTCAACTACTTGGTGAGCGGATGGACAAAGCGCCCCCCGTCCTCTGATGTGCCCCATCTGCCACGCAGCTCTGTCCCCACAGCTTCTTGCACCTGTATTCCCGTAGCCCCCAACCCCCCGTGTCCCACGTGTCCCCATCCCCGTGGCTCCCACACGTCCCTGTCCCCCATCTCCAAGCGCTGCTGTCCTTTCGCTCCCGCTGATCCCCCACACCCCGCTCAGGGTCCCTGTCCCCTCCCAGGAGGACAAGAAAATCACCCACGGCAACGTTTCTGCTAAGAAGGTGCTGCTGACCCGGGAGGGGGACGCGGCCAGCGGCAGCCCCCCCTTCATCAAACTCAGCGACCCTGGAGTCAGCATCACCGTCCTGGCCAAGGAGTGTAAGTGCCGTATGGACCCTGGGGAGCCGCGTGCCCCCCCTTGGTGGTGCTGAGCAGGGCCATCCCTTCTCTCCAGTGCTGGTGGAGCGCATCCCTTGGGTGGCCCCCGAGTGCCTGAGTGACCCCCAGAGCCTGGCGCTGCCAGCCGACAAGTGGAGCTTCGGGGCGACCCTGTGGGAGATCTTCAGTGGGGGCAACATGCCTGTCAGCCTGCTGGAGCCACAGAAGGTGGGGTTGTCCCCTCCCCCCCATCACCCTGCCCCTGTGACCCCACCCTGATGTGACGCCACTCCACTGCGACTCCATCCTGTGGCACCCACCGTGTTCAGCTGCCTGCTGCTGCCAGTCCTGCTGCAGGGCCTCCTGATGGTGCTGGTGACCCCAGAATGCAGTCACAGTGCATAAGGGGTGGGGATGGGGATGGGGATGGGGATGGGGATGGGGATGGGGATGGGGATGGGGATGGGGATGGGGATGGGGATGGGATGGGGTGGGATGGAACGGAATGGAATGGAATGGAATGGAGTGGGATGGGTTGGGGATGGAGATGGAGATGGAGATGGAGATGGAGATGGAGATGGAGATGGAGATGGGGATGGGATGGGGATGGGATGGGGTGGGATGGGATGGGGTGGGATGGGATGGGGATGGGATGGGATGGGATGGGGATGGGATGGGGTGGGATGGAATGGAATGGAATGGAGTGGAATGGAATGGAATGGAATGGAATGGAATGGAATGGAATGGAATGGGGTGGAATGGGGTGGAATGGAATGGAGTGGAATGTAGTGGAATGGAATGGAATGGAATGGAATGGAATGGAATGGGGTGGAATGGAATGGAATGGAATGGGGTGGAATGGGGTGGAATGGAATGGAGTGGAATGGAGTGGAATGGAATGGAATGGAATGGAATGGAGTGGAATGGAATGGAATGGAATGGAATGGAGTGAAATGGAGTGGGGTGGGGATGGGATGGGGATGGGATGGGATGGGGATGGGTGCCCACAGCCCAGGTAGTGGCACGGACAGGCAGACCCCACACCGTGCCCACCCCATCCTCGAGTGATGCCCGGCGCTGGCACAGCTCTGGGCCTCGTGCTCCTTCCTCCCTCCCCTCCCCCCAGAAGCTGCAGTTCTACGAGAGCCGCCAGCAGCTGCCCGCCCCGCGCTGGAGCGAGCTGGCTGCGCTGATCGCGCACTGCATGCACTACGAGCCCAGCAGGCGGCCCTGCTTCCGCGCCATCATCCGCGACATCAACAGCCTCATTTCCTCCGGTGGGCGCTGCGGGTGTTGGGGATGGGCACGGGGATGGGCACCGGACCCCCACCTCACCGCCTGTCCCCCACCCCCAGACTATGAGCTGCTCTCAGAGCTGTCACCCACCGACGTGACGCTGCGGGAGAGCTTCTGGGGCTACGAACACGTGGCGGCGGGGCGCAGCCCTGCGCTGTTCGAGGAGCGGCACCTCAAGTACATCTCACTGCTGGGCAAGGTGAGGCTCTGTTAGCGATGCCCTTTTTGTGGGGTACCCACGGCCTCCTCCACACCTCGCTGTCTCAGGGGTGGCAAAGTGCTGGGGGGGGTCCTGGGAGCTGAGCGCCCTCCCGGCTCTGCCTCCCCAGGGCAACTTTGGGAGCGTGGAGCTGTGCCGCTACGATCCGCTGGGTGACAGCACGGGGGAGCTGGTGGCGGTGAAGAAGCTGCAGCAGGACTCGGCCAAGGAGCTGCAGGACTTCGAGAGGGAGATCCAAATCCTGCACTCGCTGCAGCACGACTTCATCGTCAAGTACCGGGGCGTTTGCTACAGCCGTGGTGAGTGCGAGGCGGCACCGGGGGGGGGGGGGGGGATCAGCCCATGGGGTGCGGGCAGGGAGGGGTCTGCATGCACCCTGCTGCATCAACCTGCAAATTGCCTGCTCTGCCCGTGACACGGGTGTGCTGCAGGGCGCCGGGGGCTGCGGTTGGTGATGGAGTACCTGCCTGACGGCTGCCTGCGGGATTACCTGCAGAAGAACCAGCACCGCCTTGAGCACCGCACGCTGCTGCTCTACGCCTGGCAGATCTGCAAGGTGGGACCGAGGGGATCCCATTCTCCCATGGAGGGGTTGAGGTGGGGATGCAGTGATGGCACCGTGCCTGTTCCAGGGCATGGAGTACCTGGGGGCCCAGCGCTGCGTGCACCGCGACCTGGCCAGCAGGAACATCCTGGTGGAGAGTGAGAGCCATGTGAAGATCGGTGACTTCGGGCTGGCCAAGCTGCTGCCACAGGACAAGGACTATTATGTGGTGCAGGAGCCTGGGCAGAGCCCCGTGTTCTGGTGAGGTCCCAGGTGCTGGGTTGGGGGGCACGGTGGGACCCGGCGCTCAGAGCTCCCACCTCCAGGTACGCACCTGAGTCGCTGGCTGACAACGTCTTCTCCCGAGCGTCCGACGTGTGGAGCTTCGGGGTGCTGCTCTATGAGCTCTTCACCTACAGCAACAAGAGCAGGAGCCCCTCGGAGGTGAGGCCCCCACCCCACCGTGCCCCCCCCCCCCCCGTGCCCCCTACTGCTGCACCTTGTGCTCACCACAATCCCGCAGGAGTTCCTCCGCATGATGGGCCCTGAGAAACCAGCACAGATCATCTGCCATTTGCTGGAGCTGCTGAAGGACTCCAGGAGGCTCCCGGTGCCCCCAGGCTGCCCCACGGAGGTGAGATCCTCCCCTCCAGCACAGCGGGGTCCCAGCCCTCCCCATGCCCCCCAACGGTCCCGTTCTATCCACAGGTGTATGCGGCGATGCTGAGCTGCTGGGCATTCGCCCCCAGTGCCAGACCCACCTTCAGCGAGCTGGCAGTCAGAGTCGAGGCACTGAGGGATGGCCGTGGCACCACCCGTGGGTAGGGGGTGCCTGGACCCCCCCCCCCCTGCAGCCCCCAGACCCTCCAGCATGAGACATGACAGACAGATCAATGAACACAGCAACGCTTCAATGTGTTTTAACTGCTATGGTTGTGCTGCTGTGACTTCCCTTCTCATTGCCCCCTCTTTTGTAATCAGGTTTGACCGATTTCAAGTAAACGGTGGTGGAATTTGGCAACTGGAGTGAAGTGAGGGGAATCCATGGTGGGGGGGGATGAGGGGAGGTTGGGCATGAGGAGGTCAGCTGTGTACCAATATCCTCGCAGAGGAAATGCAGCAGTGAGCTCAGCCCCCCTATGAGCCACTGGGGACTGCCATCCCTGTAGGAGGGCAGCCTGGGGGCAGCAGGGGCCGGGGGATGTGGGGGGGGAGTCTGGGGGGCGCCCATCTCTTGCTTGTGTGGTTGAGGACGGAGAGGGGACCTCAGGTCTGTGCCCACCCGCAATGGATGAGCAGACATGGGGGACAAGGGGTGGGCGGTGGGGGGACCCTGAGCTCCCACTCCCCCCTGCGCTGTGGGATGGCAGCAGGCACGGAGCCCTCATCTCCAGACTGCTTTCCTTTATTGCACCAAGAGGAGAACCTGGTCACAAGTCACAGTTTTGGGGCAGAGCCGGGCAGGATGTCTGAGGTGAAGCCACAGGTTGGAGCTGAGGCTCAGCACCTCCCCACGCTCAGCCTCACGGCAGCATCCCACGAGCCCTGGAGCAGCAGCAGTGACGCTGACCCTCCTGGTCCATCCTAGAAGATGAGCACCTTCCTCCCGCAGCGCAGCTGGGGCTCCTGGAGAGCCTGCCACATCACGGCCATCTCGTAGGGCGCAAAGCGGTGCACCACCAGCAGCTCCCGGTAATAACAGGGGTCCAGCGGGTCAGAATAGCGGGGCACGGAGATCCCCCAGGGCCGGATGCCATCGTGGGAGATGGGGGCCAGCCCAGCTCTCTCCAAGCACATCCCCACGTAGACGTCATCGATGGGGAAGAGCGCGACGTGCTGCGCCGCGCGGTGGATGGCGCGCGCCGTGAAGGCAGACATGAGCACCCCTCCTCCGCTGCAGTACGGTGGGTACAGCTCCGATGGCATCAGCTGCGTCGGCACAAAGTATTTGCTGCCTGGATTCCGGATGGGCCCCGTGCCGGCCAACACCTGCCCAGCCAGCAAGTGCTGCTCGCTCGGGACGTCCCGCGTAAAGGACACCAGGTTGTCCGTGTTGACAAAGACATCGTCGTCCCCGTTGAAGATGAAGCGCGCGCCGGGGCAGCGCTCCTGCAGCCAGGTGTGAAACAGCAGCAGCTTCAGCGTCAGGTTGAAGAAGGTGTCCCTGAAGTCCCACTGCAGCACGTCGTGGTGCTCGTGCTGCTCATGCCACAGCAGCCGGTTCAGTTTGACCGCGTTCCGCGCCTCGGGGGAAACCCCCACCAGGAACAGCCGCCGGATTTGAGCCCCTTCCAAGGTTCTCTGCTGACCCCACGTCTTCCGGATTGCCTCGCGCCGTTCGTAGTTGGCCGGGGAGGATTTGATGGCCAGGAGGAGGAAGATGTTGGAGGAGGCTGTGGGACCCCCGCATTTGCCGGGGACGTCGAGGAGCTGCGGGAAGGCACGGCAGTGCTGGTAGAGCATGAAGTCCCGGGATTGCTCGGGCAGTTCGGCAAAGCCAGGGATGTTCTGCACTGAAGCATTGGCCACGCACGGGGTGATGCTGGGCAGAGCTGGGAGGGCGTCGGGGGCTGCAATGGAGGTGGGTTCGGGGCTGGGGGCTGCGCGAGGCCACAAAGATGAGGTGGGGGACAGCAGGTAGCACAGCCCCAGGGTCCCCACCGTGAGCAAAGCCCATTTCTGCGGTGCACGACGCCACGGGGAGCGGGTCTGCAAGACAGGGAGCACAGCTGGGGCTGTCCCTCATTTATGGGATCACCCTGCGCCCTACGGTGGGGTTGGGATTCCGGGTGCCGATGGTGATGGTGGAGGCTGAAGGCATCACCACCTCCCAGCACATGTGGAGCCTCCTGGGCAGGGTTTCCAGGCGTCCCACAGCCACCCCGGGGGCATCACACCCAATTGCCTCTGGATGCAGAGCTGCCCGTGCTCCATCCCCCTCTCTGCTAGGCTCAACTCTCTCCCTTCCTTTGTTACAACCTTTTGATCCCAAGTCCACTTCCGTCTCCCTTCCAGTAAACCAGGAAGAGGTCAGGCAGTCAACCCTGCCCAGCAGCTGCTGTGTTACACAGAGCAAATAGCCAGGGCACAGCAGGGCCACGCCAGCGAGAGGGATGGGGCACCCACTGGAGCACCCTCAGCTGGAGGAGTGGGTGGTTCTGGATGCATGAAGCCCACCAACAGGTGAGGTGAGCAGCCCCCCACCCCATAAAGATGGAGCCCATGGGCAGGGGACCCCACTCAGCGTGAGGACCCCATGCAGCATGGGGGATCCTATGGGGTGGTGGATCCCATGGGGACCCACCACCTCCCCCACCACCTCCCCCACCACCCCCCAGCCCAGCAAAGCAGGATGCACCCAGCCCCATCCCAGAGCCCACCCTGCAGCACGTGAAGCCCTGAGCCCCCCAACCCCACAGAGCCCCCAGCACCTTCCCACAGAGCCATACCAGAGCCATTCTCGTGTGTCAACAGGACAGGATCGGCAATCCCCTCCCCACACCTGGTGCCACCCATCTGCCCATCCCGAAGCCCGAAAGGTGGGGCAGCAGCAACTATGGGTTCTAGAAGTGTCACAGTTCAGTGTTGGCTCCTCCCCCCCCCGTGGCCTCAAAGTCCCCCCAGGAGCACAGCGCAGCAGCTGAGCCCGTTACCAGGGAGCAGCCCAGAGGTGGCAGAGCTGGGCGGCACAGCGTGGGGCAGAGGCGGTGATTAGAAAATAAAGTGTTTAATAAAAGAGCTTCACAGCACGGGGGTGGGATGGGGGGGGGGGGGGTCCATCCCTTACAGCAGGAGATGACGCAGTTATGGCTATGGGGAGGAAGGGGAGCGGGGGGGAGGAAGAGGAGTGAGGAGGAGGAGGAAGGCACCCCCTCCAACCAGGCTCCATCCAGTGCTTTGAGCTCACACAACCAAGGGGAGGTCCGGGGGTCCGAGTAGAGGCAGCTCAGGACCCCGCCAGGTAGATCCCTGTGGAGGAAAGGGGGGGGGGAGGGATGAAAGGTGGGGGCTGCGAAGATGGGGACACGCACACGGGGCATTGGCACCATGGGAGAACGGAGAGCGGGGAAGGGACCTCGGGCACCTGGGGAAGGGACCTCCTGCACCACGAGGAGTGAGAAAAGGTCCCCATGCCCCCAGATGTGTGGGGTGCGGAGGAGGTGCTGCCGTGCACCCTGGGCAGCACAGAAGGGACCCCGAGCATCTCAGACATAGGGGACGCAGAAGGGACCACGTGCAACCACAGGCCGTGGGGACAGGGGAGGGATCCCACGTACCCGTGGCGAACCTCTTCTTGACCAGCGACATGCGGTACCCAGCGCCTGCCAGCTCCACCTCGACGCCCGACAGCGTGCTGCCCTCACTGCTGAACTGTGCTGCCACCGGGCTGGGCTTGCTGGGCCCACAAAGCGGCTGCCAGCTGGCTGAGAGCCGCCCGCAGCCTGGGGAGGTGGGGGGGAGCACAGAGGTGGGGGTCCCATCCCTGTCCCCACACGCACAGAGTGAGGGCTGCAGGGGTGGATGGAGCCTCACCTCCCTGCCCTGGCGCGCTGGGGACATCCAGCAGCTTCCAGAGCAACCTCTTCTCCTCCAGGTTCCTGCGGGGACGTGGCCACATCTCCAGGTCTCCCGCTCCATTCCCACCACCCCCACGTTCCCCAGCCCATTTCGGACCCCCATCCTCTCTTTACCAGCTGGCCTTGGGCTGCAGCCGCACGTTGGTGACGGGTTCATCCAGGGGCAGCAGCACGTGGACGTTGGCGAGGGGCACAGGCAGGGCGAGCGCCCCCGCGTTGTAGCCGTACTCCACACTGACCCGCGTGGCTCCGGGCGCGCAGTCCCAGCGCACACACAGCCGCAGTGGGGCTGAGCTGGGACCCAGCCGGGAAAACTGGGGGGTAGAGAAGGGTGGGATGCTGTCACCCCGCCATCAGAGCTGGGTGGGGGGACGTGGGGCGCCCCCACGCTGCGCCCGGCTCACCTGGTACTTGAGCAGAGCCACGTTGTAGTAGGAGGCGGATGGGCTCTGCTCTGCTTGTTTCTGCAGCTGCCCCGTCAGCGCAGCCATGTTCAGCCAGAAGTCCCTGGTGCTGGGGTCGCTCTGGGATGGGTCGCTGTGGGGACGGGGACACTGCGGCCACACTGGGGCGCCCCACAGCTGGCACCCGCAGCACGCAGTGAACCGGCACCCCAAGGCGCAGCGCTGCACCCACCAGGTGATGAAAGCGCCTGGGGCCTCCTGAGAAACCAGACACCCCAACACCCTGTGCGCCCCAAGCTCCCCACTGCCACCACCCCAGCCCACGTCCCCGTGTCCCCACACCTGTAGAGCAGCTCGGCGTTGGGCAGGAATTGCTCGATGGCACCGGCGTTGAGCAGACGGAAGCTGAGCACGGGGGGGGGCCAAGCTGCCGCTGAAGACGCGCACGATGCCGGCGGGGAAGGACATGGTGAGCTCCCCCGTCACCTTCACCAAGCAGCTGCGGGGATGCTGGGGGTCAGCGGGCAGACAGCTGGGGGGACCCCGACCCCGACCCTGACCCCCCTACCTGTCGGCATCTCGCCCCTTGAAGTAGGCATGCACGTATTCGGTGAAGGCGGTGGCCACGGGCAGCGCGTCCTGCGAGCCCAGCACCACGGGGCTGGGACCCCGCGACAGCCCTGGGGGCGACGCACACCCCGTGAGCACCCAGAGGGCCCCACGTCCCCCACATCCAGGATTCTTCAATTCCCCTCCCAACCCGGACGCACCGAGGGGCGGTGGGCACACGGAGAAAAAGCCGCGCTCCCCCAGGCTGGCGGGGGCTGAATGCGAGGGGCAGCTCCAGGAGGGCGGGGGGCTGAGCGAGCGCGACTGCGGGCACAGAAAGGGGGGGGGGGGTCAGTGGAAGGAAGGGGGTCGGGCTGCTGCCCCCCCAGCCCTCCCACCCCCTTAAAACACACCAGGTCACTGTTGCTGCCTGCAGCTGGGCCGGCTGTCGGGCGCTTCGTCCGGGAGCGGCGAGGGGGGGCCACCAGTGGGACCTCGCGGGGGGCGGCGGCGGGGGGGCGGGCAGCTGTGGGCACAGAGGGGGTCAGGGGGTGACGAGGCGAAGGGGGCAATGAGAGGTAGGGGTCTCCATGGGGGGGTCCCACGGGGGCCGGGAGAGCAGCAGCCTCAGCCCTTCAGATGTATGGGGCTGGTGAGAGCCGGGGGGGCACAGCTATGGGTAATTTGGGGGCAGAGCTGGGGGTGATCAGGGGGCAGAGGGAAAGGTAACTGCAGGGCAGAGCTACGGGTAAATGAGGGCAGATCGGGGGGTGACTGGGGGCAGAGTTGAGGGTAATTAGGGGGAAGCCCCACAGAACTCACCCAATTCAGGGGGGGCCGTCGCAGTGCCACCCTCAGACGTCCTCATCCCCAGCCCTGGGCACGTCCATGGGGAGGGGCTGGAGGACTCCCCCCCGCTTGGGGGGGCCGGGGAGGAGGAGGAGGATGAGGCCGAGTTGGAGGAAGGTCGAGGCTGGGGGTGTCGCTCCCCAGGGGGACTGCGGGGCCGGACCCAGGGCTCCCCAAAAGGGTCGGGCGAGGGGGGCTGCAGGGGGGGGGCAGTGCCACGGGGGCGCCCCCGGGACGCCGCACCCCCCACATCCCCCTCCTCCCAGAGCCCCTCAGCCCCGGGGAACACGGCAAAGCCGGGCAGCTCAGGCAGGCGACCCCCGGGGCTGCGGGGTCGGGGGGGGGCCCAGGCTGAGGATGGTGCCGGGGAGGGGTCCGGCAGTGCCCCCCGCTTGGGGAGGGGGCTCTGAGGTGCCGATGGAGTCCACGGCCTCGAGTCCGGTGAGGGGACGGGCGCAGGGTGCGAGGGGGAATCCAAACCCGAATCCTCCACGTTTTCCGGGGAAGAAGAGGAGAAGGGCGAGGAGGAGGAGGTCAGGACGTAGGAACGGGGCGCTGCGGGAGAGAGCGGCGTTGGGATGCTGGGGGGGCATAGAGGGGTCTCCCCCCCCCCTCCCCCTTCACATCCCCAAAGCCTCACCCGGGAAATCCTCCGCCTCAAAAGCTGATTCCAGGGGGGGCCCGAAGAGCGCTGCGGGGGGCACCGCCTCCATGGGGGGCACCGCGTCCACCGGAGCCTTCCCAGGGCAGCTGTGGGGTGGGGGGGCTCAGTGCCCAGCACAGGGCTCAGTGCACCCCCCTGAGGGCGTCCCGTGCCGTACCTGCTTGCCTGTGTCACCGCGTGTCCTCTCCCCATGCTGTCACCTGCAAAGAGAAGGATGTGATTGGGGACATGGAGGGAGAGGGGACACCGGGACCCCCAGGACGGCAGGACGCCCAGCACGGCCTCACCTGGCACCTGAGGCCCCCCAGGGTCGGCGGCGCTCGGGGCTGCGGACAGAGCCGCTGTGTGCCCTGGGGAGGGACATGGGGACAGGGGGTGTTAGGGGACGTGGGGACAAATGTTAGGGGCTATGGGGACACAGGGACAGGAGGAAGGAGGGGACGCGGGGACAAGTAATGCCAGGGGACACGAGGTGGGACTCACGTGACGACTGCCGTCTGACGGTGCCCTGCAAGACACGGGGGGTCGTTAGCCCCAGCACGGCCCCCCCAACCCCCCACCTTAAGCCCCCAGCCTCACCCCCACGCCGGGCGGCAGGATGAAGGTTCCCACGGTGGCCCTCAGCTGCTCCACGGTGGCCCCGGCGCTGCTCCCCCCCTCGCGGGGCTGCACGGGTTTGATGTGCACGTGGAACCTGCGGGGCTCATCCTCGTCGTAGTCCGAGTCGCTGGAGGAGCAGCTGTGATGCTCCGCCTCCGCTGAGCCCCCGTTAAGGCAACACTTGAACCTCAAAACGCCCCCAGGCCCCCCAAAAAAACCCCCATCCCCCAACACACCCGCAGACCCCAACATCAAACCCCAAGGATACTGTGAGCGACGTCTGGGCGCACGCTGAACCCGTCCTCATCCACCTCGGGGCAAGCCTGAAGTGGAGGGGATGCTCAGGGTGGAGCCCACTCCCCAGTGCTCCCAGTGCTCCCAGTTTGGGGCGGTGTGGGATGGAGGAAGGCCGGCACCCCACACCGTACCACTCACCACATCGGTGTCCGGGGATTCCCTGTGGGGATGGAGGCAGCGTTAGAATGGGGGTTAGATGGGGGGCACAGAGATGCAGAGAATGGATGCAGAGAAGCGTGGGGTGTTTGCAACGTAGGGAAGGGGTGCAAGGGATGCAGACAATGCATGCAGGGGGTGCAGACAGCACGGAATGCAGACAGCATGCAATTCCAGACGCATGGAACTGCAAGGGAGGGATGCAAGGGAGGGATGTGAAGGATGCAGGGAAGCACGGGGTACAGAGAATGGGTGCAAGGGACAGAAGCAGGGGCGGGTGCAGAGGATGCAGAGCACAGAGGGGCGCTGGGGAGGTGAAGGGGGGGCAACACCTCACCCAGCTTCGCGCTCTCTCTCCTTGCGGCTCAGCCCGGGGATGCGGAAGGCTTTGCTGCGGCTCCTCTTGGGCCCTGGGGGGGGGGGGGCGGGGGGCACAAAGCAGTGAGCAGCCCCAACCCCCCCCCCCCCCCCCCCAGGACACCCCCCCAGCACAGGGCTGAGTTGGGGGCAGACGTACTTGCCTTCCTGCGCTGGGGCCAGGCGGTACTCCTCAAAATCCAGCGCGCCTGAGAGCAAACGTGGGGTCAGCCACAAAGGCAGCAGCGTCCCCATGCACGGCTGAACCCCCCCCCCACACACCAGGACAGTGGTGAACCCCCTCCTCACCTGGGCGCTCCCTCCCCGTCCCTTTGCTCTCTGCAAACCTCCGCAGCAGCGTTTCGGTGCCGATGTTCTCCACGTTCTGCTTGAACTCCTCGTGAACCTGCGGGGAGCGGCGCGGTGGGACGCAGAGCAGCACCCGGGGGTGGCCCCATATGGGGGTGGGGGGCTGAAAGGGAGGCTTCACCTGCCCGATCTGCACGTGGGTGTCCTCCACCGAGTGCGAGTAGGAGCCGATGAGGCCCTTCATGTGGCGCAGGTGGGCTTCTTCCACCTCCTGGAAGCGCTGAGGGGATGGGGAGATGGGGGTGGCACATCCCCGAGGGGCAGCAGCACCGGGGATGGGTTTGGGGTAGGGCAGCGCGTCCCCCATGTCACCCCACGGTCACAACCCCCCCCGTGCCACCACCCCACCAGCACCAATCCCCACAAAACGATGCTCCCAGTGCCACCACCCCCCCCCGGCCCCCCTGGCCCCCCCACCCCCCCTCCACACACCGTGGCCGACTCCACCATCCTCTGCTCGAAGTCATTGCGGGCGCTGTTGTATTTGTCCACCGCGCGCCGCAGGGCTTCTGCTGCCTTCTGGGACTTCAGCTCTGCCTGCAGGAGAGCAGCGGGGCTGAGATCCGGGGTGGGGGATGGGGGAGGGAGGAATAACGATCATCCAGGGTGGGAAATGGTGGTGGGGGGAGTCACCTTGTCGATGTCTTTCTGGTTGGTGCCCTCCCGGCGCAGCCTCTCGTGCTCGTGGCATTTGCTGTGGTAGCTCTCCTTGCACTTGGCCAGCAGCTGAGCCACCCCCTGCAGGAGCTGCACCGCCTCCAGCGTGCCTGCAGCCTCCTCCTTGCACTGCAGGATGGGGGGCGTGGGGGGGGTGCATGGGGGGTGGGAGGGGGCTGCAGGGCGTAGTGGGGCTGGGGGTGGGGGGGTCGCATGAGACAGGGGCTGTGGGGGGCGGTGGGACAGTGGCTGTGGGGTTGCACAAGGGGGGGTGGGGGCTGTGTGGGATAGAGGCTGCAGGGGGGTGAGTGTAGCGGGGCTGTAGGGGGGTCGGGGGTGGTGGGACAGAGGCTGTGAGGGGGGTGTGAGGTTGGAGGAGCTGCATAAGAGGATTTGGGGGGGGCTGCATGGGACAGGAGCCGTGGGGGACAGCGGGGGGCACGGGACAGTGGCGATGTGGGGGGGTTGGGTGTGGGGCTGTGTAGGTTTGGGGGATTGCATAACAGTGAGTGGGGGTGTGTGGGATAGAGGCTGCAGGGGGGTGTGTGCAGTGGGGGCTGTAGGGGGGTCGTGGGAGGCTGCGTGGGAGGGGCAATGGGGGGTGGGAGACAGGGGCTGTGGGGGCTGCATAAGTTGGATGGAGGCTGTGTGGGACAGTGCATGCAGTGGGGGCTGTAGGGGGGTGCAGAGTGGCTTCGCAGGGTTGTTTGTGGGCAGTGTGAGAAGGGAGGGGTGGGACAGGGGCTGTGCAGCAGTGTGTGGCTGCAGGGCTGGGTCCAATACCTTTTTGTGTGCCCGGCCCTGCTCCTCCCCATAGCGCGACAGCTCCCGGAGCAGCTCCTGCAGTTTTCGCACCAACTCCAAGTGACACAGAGCCAATTTGTCAGAGGAGACACGGAACACCTCCCAGAGCGGGGCGAAGGTCCTGGCACCGTGGGAGAGGGGGGGACACACACACACACACAGTAAGCATCACCCCCCCCCCCCCCAGTGGATGCAGGGTACCCCCCAGTGCCGCGCTCACCCCAGCTGGGTGCCGTTGGTGGCCATTTTCGACAGCTTCACCATGGCTTTGGCGTAGCTCTCCTCGATGGCAGCCCTGAGGGAGGTTTGGGGATGGGGGGGGGGAGGGGGGGCTGGCATGAAAAGTCCCATGATTTGTGCCCCCCCCCCCCCCCCCCAGACCCCCCCTGCCCCTCAACCCGCAGCACCTCTCGCGCACAAAGTCCGCCAGCTCCTTGGTGGAGGTCTGCCCGTGCTTCATGTTGTGGTACAGCACATCAAAGCCGTGGTTTTTCTCGCCCTGGGGGGAGGGTGGAAAGGGGGGAAATTGTCACCCCAGCCCCCCCTCCCCCCCCCCCCCAGACCCCAGTGTAGGAGACCAGGAGTTGTTCCAAGGTTGGCTAAGGCCTGGCACCGGGTGCTACTTGGGGATGCGCACCTTCCTCCCCTACTCCAGCACATGGGGAAACTGAGGCATAGGGGCACTGTGGGACCCCCCCAGAGCTGTGGTGGGGGGGCTGAGCCCCAGCACAGGGCGCTATTTGGGGTGCACCCCCCCCCCCCCCCAAGTAGTGCTGCAGGTGGTGACTCCACATTGGGGAAACTGAGGCACGAAGGGGGGTGGGTGGGGGGGAAACAGTGCACAGCTGCAAACCAGGAAGCGCTGAACACCGAACTTCCTCCTATGGGGCTGGGGAACTCCAGCAGGGGGTGGGGGGCACCCATAGGTGGGGGGGCACCCATAGGTGATGGTGGGGAAGCGGGAGGGGGAGCAAGGAGTCCTTACCCAAAAGTGCTCAGCGAAGAAGGACATCGTGGAGGTGGCAGGGGTGGGGATGGGGGGGGGGCAGGCAGCAGTGGCTCAGCTTGCAGCTCCCTGAGGATACGGGGGGGGGGCATAGAGCTGAGGGGGGGGTCCTTGTGTCCGGCCCCCCCCCCCACCCCATACCTACACTCAATGGGTTCAGCACAGGGCTGTGTCCATGGGAACAGTGCCACAACACGGGGTGGGGAGGAGGGGGGGGCTGACACCTGATCTGCACCTCAATAATAAATGAACGACGGTGGCAGCTCCCCCCCCCCTCCCATCCACAACCACAACCACCCCCCCTCGAAAAGAAATAACGGCACACAAAGGTGCTGCCCCCCCCTCCTCCCCTCCCCAAAACCCATCCATCCCTGCAGTGCTGGGGGTCCCACACCCAAATACCCCTTGGATCCCATGGGGAGGGGGGGGGGGGTGTGCAGCACCCCGCTCCCCCCCCCTGCGTGGAGAAAAACAGGAAGCGAAGCACTGTGTGCAGCCGGGCGGGGGGGGGGGGGGGGGGGGAACGTCGCACCCCACGGATGGAGCACAAGGACGGCGGTGTGGGGGGAGACGGGGATGGGGAGGGGGCTTTCCACTCACCCACTGCTGTGGGGCGGCAGCGCGCATCCTCGGCGTGGGGGGGGTCTGTGGGGAGAGCGGGGGGCTCACGGGGTGCCCCCCCCACCCCAAAAAAAGCCGTGCAATGAGCGGGGCGGGCTCAGAGCATCCCCACCCCCAACCCGGGGTATGAGATGCAGGGGGGGGGGGACCCCGCTGTGGCCGTGACCTTCGCGGGGTGGGGTTGCGGGGGGGGGCGCGGGGTTGAAGCCCCCCCCGGGATGGGGAGGTGGGGGGGTGGAGGGGCACGGAGCGATGCTGGGTGCGGGGGGGGGCAGCGCTGTTCTCCTCCTCCTCGAAGACCGCGGGAAGGGTGGGGGGTGTGGGGGGGAGGGAAGGGGTTTGGGGGGGGGGGGGGGGCACAAAGGAACGCGGTCCTCTGCCTCCAAATCGCAAAGAAATGAAATGAAATTGATGAAGAAAATGAAAAGAAAAAGATATCAAAAGAAAAAAAAACGGGGGGGGGGGGGGGGGGAAACGCGGTGCCGGTGCACCTGCGGGGAAGGGGGGGGGGGGGGGGGGGGGTCGGTGCGGGGCAACCTCGGTGCGGGGAGGGCAGCCGGTGGGGGGCGGGGGGGGGGGGGGGGGACACTCACCTGCGGGGCCACCGCCCCCGCCCCGCTCCGCCGCCGCCGCCCCGCACCGCTCCGCTCCGCGCGGGGCCGGGACCGCGCCGGAGTGGGGGGGGGCGGTAGTGACCACGCCCCCTCCCGCCGCGCCGCGTTCTGATTGGATCCCGCTCCCGCAGCGGTTACCGCAGCCCCGCGGTCGCTACTGTTCATTGGTGAAATGTGGCGCGCCGGGAGGGGGGGCGATTTGCATATTTAAAGGAGCCGCGCTGTCGGGCAGGGAGCGCGGAAGGGCCGGACTCCCCCCGGCGCTGCGGGGATCGAGTGCCCCCTCCCACCCCCCCCTCACCGCAATCCTCTGCACTCCCTACCGCTGTGCCCCCACGCATTCCCATTGCCATCACGCTCTCAGCAGTCCCGGTAACGTCTCCTTTTTTCCGTGTGTCCCCGCACCCCATGTGTGCCCCCCCGGTGCCACCCGGTGCCGCCCGCTCCGCTGAGCTCATGCCCGGCGCCGGCTGACACCGCGCGGCCCCGCGCAGCTGCGGGCGGAGGGGGGAGGACGCGGGAATGCAGAAGCTGAAGACCCCCCCCCCCCGGAGGGTCCCGGGTGTATTCCTCCCGCACCCCTCCTTCTCCCCCCACCCGCATCGCCAATCAGCCGCGGCCGTGGGGTGGGACCCGAATGTGCGGGAGTGGGAATAGCGGGTGGGTGTCCAGGGGAGGAGGGAGTGCGGGGTGGGGTTGGGGCGGGGAGGGATTTGGGAACAATGAGGTTTGAGGCTGGGGGCGTTTCGAGGACGGGGGGACGCGGGGATGGGGAAATGGGGAAGGGGCGACCCGAGCAGGGCTGGGGGTCGGGATGGGGTATCGGGCCGGGCCGGGGGGCGGCTCGGGGTATCGTCCCCCCAGCGGGCCGGGGGCGGCGGAGCTGGGTGCGGTTGCCATGGCAACGCCGCATCCATCCTCACTTCGTAGCGCAGCGCGGCAGCCTTGAGTCCCCCCCCCCCCCATCCCGACCCCTCCCCGCGCCAAGTGCGGCCCCCGCAGCCCCTCCCACCCGCAGCCCCCATCACACCCCACAGCACGCCACGACCCTCCCCCAAACGCAGCTCCCCCCACCCCATCCTGCCGCCCTAACCCACGCCGCAGCCCCCACCCCAGCCCCGCACCCCCCCCCCTTGAAGCCCCCATCCCACCCCGCACCTCCACCCGCCCCTCAGCCCCATCCCACCCCGCACCCCCCCACCCCCTCCCGCACGAGGCACGCAGCAGCAGCCGGGCGCTCTCCTCTCTTTAATGCTCAGTTCCGATACATCCAATAAAGCACTGCAGTGGGGACCATTCACCCCCCGCACACACAACACAGCCCCAGGTCCACGAAGGGGAGAGGGGGAAAGGGGGGGGGGGGGTCGGGGGGGGCTGGCGGTGTGACCCCCACCCATAAATAACCGCCCTCAGGACCGCGCTGGGTTTGCTCATCTCTGTTTGTTTGTTTCCCATTCCTTTTTTTTTTTCTTTTTTTTTTTTTTTCCATTTTTTTTTCTTAAAAAGTCATTACAAAAAGAACCATGGAGGAGCCCCCCCCCCCAGCCCCCACCCCAGGTTAGTGTTTGCCCCCGTGTGGGGCGAGTGGGAGGTGGGGGGGGGGGGGTGAGCACACATTCTGATCCCCCCATCGGAGCCCAAGATCTCCCCCCAAATCCCCTTAACAACCACTCGTGGCGTTGGGTTCCTTCAAAGCCTTCCAGCACTGCAGGGACACGGGGGGGAGAGGGGATGATTCTGCCCCCCCCCCAGCCCCGCTGCAGGCAGGGATGTGCCACCAGTGCCATGAGCTGCCAGTGCTCAGCCCACGCTGCATGGGGACAAGAGGTGACACAATGAGGGGACACAGACTCGGGGTGGGGGGTGGGATTTGTCCTTCATGCCATGGGTGGGGGTGAGGACGGTGCAGCCAAGCCCCTGCCCCCCCCTCCCACACTCCCACCCCCCCCCGAACCCCTCTCTGCAGCGTGTGGCAGCGTGGACACAGGGGACGGTGATAAAGCTGTGCTGTAGTGCCATAGGGGCAGCCGACGCAGCCCCACAGCCATAGGGCAGCTATGGGGTGCTTAGAAGGGGCTCAGTTCCCTCAGCAGCCCCCGGGGTGGGGGGCAGTAGTGGCTTCTCAGGGTGGGGGGCGTTTGGGGGGGGGGGGGGGAAATAGGAACAGCAAAAGACAAAAAAAACATTCTACCCTGTTTGACTGAGCGTGGCTCGAGCTCCACACCCGGACCCCTGTCCCCGGGTGCAGAGTGGCAGCGTGTGGCATTGTGTGGGTGCTGTGGGACCCCCGGACCCCCAGCCAGGATGGGGGGGAGAGGGGGGGGGAGGAGGGTGGGAGGAGGGCAGGACCCCCCTCCCTCCAGCATCTCTCCCCACTCCTTTCCCTCCAACACACAGCGGCTCACGGTCACCATGCAGGGAGGGAAAGGGCGAGGGAGGTGAGCAGAGGAGGAGGAGGAGGAGGAGGGTGGGGATGAAGCCCACCGTGACCCCCCCCCCTCCCCCCCTTGCTCAGAACTCCACCTTGCAGGCGGGGAAGGTTTCATCCTGCATGGCCACCGTGCTGTTGCTGCCCAGCACCGTGATGCCCAACTCCTGCTGCCTCTCGTGGGTCTCCTGGTACCACTCGTGCATCACCAGCGAATCGAAGGTGGGGATCAGCGTCACCTGCAGGGACAACAACAGCACCGCGTCACCACCGCAACCCCCAGAGCAGCACCCACGGCAAAAGTAAGGGGGAGGGGGAACGGGTGCCATTGCTGAGCGTTAGCAGTGCTCCATCCCACGCCTTCCCCCTTCTTTCGGGGGTCTGGGGGCGATGCTCCGTCCCATGCGTTCGCCATCTATATGGGGATAGGGGTTGGGGGTGGGGGGATGGGGGGGGGGTCTCACCTGAGTGTCGATGCCCCACTGGTGCTTGCCGGCCAGCAGCGCATCCAGGATGGGCCTCAGGACCCCCTCCTTCAGGTGGTCGTCGCCGCTCACCACGTAGCACAGGGAGCGGACGCGGCGGAAGAATTCCTCATCCACCGTGCGGGCGCTCCACGAGCCGGGCAGATACGCCAGGTCCACGTACACCGGGGGGCCCTGGGGGGCTGCAGCCCGGGAGCCTGCGGGGATGGAGAGGTGGGGTGACGGGGACGGCCCTCTCCCCATCTCCAAACGCCCCCCCACCCCCGTGCCCCCCCTCCCCACGCTCTCAGCCCCATACCTGCTGGGGATGCCCGTCCGGCTCCCGCTGCTGTTCTGGCTCCAGCGCTGCGCATGGTCCCTGTGCCACTGGGGGGGGCTTTCTTGTCCCCGGGGGGCAGGCGGGTCTTGTCCCCAGTGGGACCCCTGCCCTTGGGGGCCAGGCTGGCGGCTTTAGGGGCGTCGGGTTTGGGGGCGGCAGGCGCTGTGCCCACACGGGATGGGGTGCGCTTGGCCTTGCCGAGGAGGGGCTCCTTCTTGGGCAGCGCCTCGGGGTCCACCATGCAGATACCGGGCTGGGCGGGGAGGGGGCAGGGGTCCTTCATAGGGGCCGGCAGCGGGTCGCGGGCCCTGGGGGGGCCACGGTGAGGCTGTTCTGAGTCCTCATCCGACTCCAGCCCGTCGGCCAGCAGAGAGGGGCAGTCCTCGGTGGCGGGGGGCACGTCGGAGTCGGAGAGGGTGGGCAGCGACTCGCTGACCGAGGTGGGGGGCGTCTCGCCCACGGGCTGCGGGGGGGGGCCGGCCGCGGTGCAGGGCTGGGGGCTGCAGCTCCTGCGAGGGATCGCTGTCCGACAGGTCGCGGGGGCTGAGGGCGGGCGAGCGGCCGGCTTTGGGGTGCTCGAACTCACAGGGGGACACCAGGCACAGGTCCACGTCGTGGGGCGAATCGGAGCGGCGGCCGTGGCGTGGAGCAGGGGGGGGATGCGGGTGGTGGCAGGGCCGTAGTGGCAGCGACAGCCCCCCCCCCTTGGCAGGGTCGGGCTCCGGCGTGGCGCGGGGCCGCACGCTCTCCTCCTGCGGGGACTCGCTGACCGGCGGCAGCACCTGCTCAAAAGACACCGACAGCGACTCGTCCACCTCTGTGGAGTGAGGGGAGCCGACCTCGGCCGGCAGCGAGGGGGTGGTGACGGTGGGGGACACGTCGGGGACGTCGTCCTTGAAGGGGCTGAGGGACAGGCAGCCTGCCTGCTTCTCACTGCCGTCCTGCGGGGCTCTGTTAGGCGCCCAGGGGTTGGGCTGAGCGTTGGCACCAGGATCCTCACCGCCGTCCTCCACCGGCGACTGATGGAACGGAGTGTGCCCGGCGCTGGCGGGCCCCGAGCTGCCCGGGGACATCATCTCCAGGGTCTTCTCCTCGGAGCTGCCACATGGGTCCTCGCTACCCTCGGGGCCGGGAGGCAGCAGCCCGGTGGGCGTCAGGTCAAAATTGACGCTGCGCTCGCTCCTGGGGGTCTTTGCCAATGGCGACGGGGGGCCGACGGCCTTCCAGGGGCTGCCCTCGGGGTAGCGGAAGCGCTGGGGGCTCTCGGGCTCCTCTGTGCCGTTCTCCACACAGCTCGGCTCCGACCCCCTCGCGGCGCCTCCGTTCTCCAGCGGCGATGGCTCCAGCTCGCTCTCAGCCGTGGTGATGCCTTCATCCGGTGACTCCTCCTTCCTCCTCCTCCCCTCAGCATCCAGCACCATGTCTTCAGGGGAGGAAGGCTTGGAGCCCTCTGTTGGCCCCGGCTCCCTCTTGCTGCCCAGCTCCTTGCCGCCTTTGGCCTTGGGTTTCTCTGGCTCCTTCTTCAGGGTGGCTTTCTTGATGCTGCCAGCCTTGGCCAGCGGTTTGCGGGCGTCAGGCACCGGCGTTTTCCGTGCTGGGGGCTTTGCAGCAGCCTTGGGCTCAGCCTTGGTGTCCTTTGTGTCCTTCCGCAGCGTCTCCGCCTTCACGTCCTTCTTCACAGCCTTCAGCTCCTTCTTTGGTTCCAGCTTCCCTTCGGTGCTCTCCTCCTTCTTCAGTGGTTTCTTCTCCTCCTTGCGGGGCACAGGTTCCTTCCTGGGCATTGCCTTCTCCTTGCTCACCTTTGGCTTCGCCTCTGCCTTCAGCTTCTCCGCAGAGGAGTCCGGCTTGGCAAGTTTGGCCTTCTCCTCCTCTGACCCTGCTCTGGCCACCTCCCCCAGTGCCTTTGGCTTCTCCTTGGTCCCCACCTTCACTTCCTTCCTCTCCACCGTTTTCAGAGCCTTCTCTTTGGGTACCCCAGCCTCCACCAAGCTGAGCTTGGAGGCAGACGCCAAACTCTCCTTGCTCTCCGTCCTCCTCTGCTTCAGCTGCTTGTCAGCTTGAAGGCCCTTCAGGTCATTCTTGGTGACCACGGGCTGCTTGAGGAACTCCAGGTGCTTCACCTTCTCCAGCCCTTCCATGATGCGCGCCTGGGGCGTGCAGCCGGGGAAGAGGACACGGATGATCTTTTCGGCGGGGCTGACGGGGTGCCAGACCAGCAGGGCGCACACCGAGGTCAGGCACTGCAGCGGCAGCTCCTGCTCCTCAGGGTAGCCATCCCCAGACCAATGCTGCAGGAGGAACTCCAGCTCCTTGGTGCCCCGCACCGGGTTCAGCACATACATGTCCAACCGTCCCACTCCCATCTTCTGGAACAGGACGGTGGGCTCCACGCGGGGGCTGCAATCCCGTGCCAGCGGGTTGGGGCGGATGCCCAACTTCTCCAAATAGTGCAGCGTCAGCGCCGCCTCGTCGCAGCTCTTCAGCACCCTTGAGTTGCCCTCGATGGCCTTCAGCTTCTCGGAGGCGTTGAGGAACACGACGCCCAGCTCTGGGGAGATGAGGTTGCGGGCCCAGTCGCCGTTGCCCTGCGAACCCTGCGAGGCTGGTTCCTCCTCCAGCTCGGCCAGTTTCCTCTGCAGCAGGCTGTTGATGCCAGGCAGGCTGTCGGTGCCCGCGTGCGTCACCAGGATGGAGTCGATGCGGTCCAGGTGCCGCACCAGCTTCCAGAAGGACGATTTGGGGTTGGAGCCGCCGTTCACCAGCACGTTGAAGCCGTTAACGGCGAAGAAAGCGGAGTCCCCTCTCCCACCCGGGAAGATGTAGCAGCAGGGCTTGGAGAGCTTGAGGAAACCCACCATGGTGGGGGGCTCCAGGAGGTCGAAGGGGGACTGGGGCTCCAACGACTCCGAGAGGTACTCCATGAACTCCTCCAGCCCCTCCATCTCGGGCAGGATGCAGCCGGGGTTGTAGCGCAGCTCAATGAAGTCCTGCAGGTTGTGATGGTCCAAGCCCGAGTCCTTCCACTCCCCGAAGTCGGGGCAGCTGATGGTCAGCCTGGCCTTGGCTGAGGGATCCGCGGAGCTCAGGATCTCCCCGACCTGTGAGGGGAGAGCTTCAGGCAGGGCCCCATTCCCACCACATGGCACCCAGGGTCCCTCCGTACGGGGCAGCTCCCTCCCAGGCACACGCACCCCTCGCCTGCAATCTCTGAGCCCCTCTCATAGCCCTGCCTCACTCCCAGCTATCACCGTGGCCCCCAGCTTCCTGTACTGGGCGATCAGAATGCAGCCACCCCCTCACCAGCCTCATGCAGCAGAGGGAGGGATGCATGCAGCACAGACAGCTCCGCTCGCTCGGCTGAGACGATGCAGACGTGAGCAGACAGTGCCTCCCCACACCCGGCCCCGCACCTCCTTGTCAGTGAAGATCTGGATGAAGTCCCGCAGCGAGAAGCAGCCAGTCTGCAGCATCAGCTCGCCCGTCTCCTCCACGCAGGGCCCCGCAAACACCAGCAGCTTGTGCTGCGACACATCCGTGATGAGGTTGCGCAGCTGCAGGGGCCGAGAGGGGGGCGTGAGGACACGTGAGGATGCTGCCCCCCAGTCCCCCCCCTCCTCACGTACCGTTTGCATCCCGCATGGCCCCCCCTCCCCGCTCACCTCGTCACACAGGGATTTGTCGGAGGGGTTGAGCAGCACCAGGGTCTCCAGCACATCGCCGCGGTGATGCAGGGTCCGCTGACCTGCGGGGACAGCAGCTGCCACCCATCCTTCCCCAAAACGTGGCAGGTCCCTCAGGACCTCCCCCGCCAGGCTGCGTGTGGATCAGGGGGTGACACAAACGTGCCCAAGACGGGGACAGAACCTGTCCACTTCCCCTGCGGAAGAGGGACAGCTGCCGGCCAGGACAGCGGGGGATCCGCTGCACTTCCCATCTCCTTCCTGCTGCAGGGAGGGGAGGAAAGGGAGCAGCCAGGCTGGGGCTGCCCTGCTGTCCCCCAGAGGTTCCTCATAGGCTGCGGGCTTCAAGCAGAGACCCACTGCCCCCAGGAGCCAAACACAAAGGGGGACATGGGGCACCCTAAGCCCACCAGGGGGTGGCAAGCTGCAAGCACGCATGGGTCGAGACATGCTGGCACCACAGCGACCACACAGCCCCACCAGCATCCGCCCTGGGGGGAGGAATGTGGCTGCTGGTGTAGGAAGCAGCTTTCCACGTGGGAATCACAGGGCTCAGCCCCAAGCAGCAGCCAGCAGTGTCTAGGATGGGGGTACAAACTCCCAACACCCCTTTCCCCTCCCCTGCACTGGCCCCCATCCCCGTGACTGTGATGGCTGCCACCACCTCCTCCCCAAATCCCTTTTCCAGAAGCAGCGAAATGTTTGCGCAGCAAAGAGCATCTCATCCCATCTCATCCCATCTCATCCCATCTCATCCCCTCGGGAGACTCATGAATTAATCACTGCCACGGGGTCAGGTGAGGACCACGCCGACGTGCGCTGGCGCTCAGCCCCACCACAGCGCTGTCCCCAACTCCGAGTGCCACCTCCGTACCTTTGACAATGCTGGAAAAGGTGGCGGAGTGGCGGGAGACGAAGAGCTTCAGCTGCTCATCCAGGTTGCAGGAGGTGAGGTCGATGTCCCAGGAGCGGATGCCTGCAGGGTGGGCAGTGCCTGCTGTCCCCACGCACGCCGCGGGTGACAGAGCCCCTCTGTCCCCACTCCTCACCCCTCCATGGCTTCACACACAGCCATGCTGTCACCCAACCACGGTTTGCACCAGCACTGCCATCCAGCCCCACGCTGCAGGGATGGGGACAGAGTGGGGACCCGGGTGTGAGGGTGGCACCGCCGGCGTGTGCCGTGTGCTGTGATGATGCTGTGACTCACAGCCACGCCACCTCTGCCAACCCAAACCCAAACCCTGAGGCTACGGCAGCAGCTTCCCAGCGCCTCCTCAAAGGCAAGGTGCTAATTAATGGAATTAGCGGCGCTGGGGTGAGTGCTGCCAGGGGACGGAAGCCCCCAGCCCAGTGCAGGCCCAGCTATTGGCTGTGCAGATGAGCTCCATCTCTCAGGGGGCTCTCGGAGGGGGAGGGGAGGGGCTGCCACCACCATCACTGCCCGCTAACGGCTGCCGATGGCGCAAGGAGCCGCGGTGTGGGGTTGCACAAAGGGCTGCCGGAGCCGTTCTCCAGCGGTTCCCCATCACTGCGGGTTTGGTCCCTCCGTGGAGGCACGTGGGTGTCCCCAGCGCGAGGCACTGCGATGCCACGACCCCGGGCCGGGGGTGATGGAGGAGCTGAGACCCCCCCTCCCACCACACATCCGTCCCTGCACAAAGGGATCCCCGGGGACAGAGATGGGAGCGGGGGGCGGAGCGGGGCAGGAGACGGGGCGGATGGCAGGGACAAAACCGGGGGCAAATCTCGGGGATTTGGGGCAGATCCCGAGCGCCCACGGGGAGGACGGACGGACTGCATGAGGAGGGGTGGGAGAGGGGGGCGGAAGGCGGGGGTGCGGAACAAATGGCGGGGCAGATCCATCGACGACGGGCGGGAACCGACGCCGGGGAGGCGGCATCCCCCAGGGACCACCGCGGCCCGCGGCGCGGCCCACCGGGACCCCGCCCCGAGGATCTCCTCCCTCCTCCCCCCTCCTCGGGCCCGGGGCGGGCGGAGCGCGGCCGATCCGGCATCGGGGCCGGACCCGTTGGGGGGGCCGCGACACGAGGCCACGAGGCCGGGGCTCACCTCGCTCCAGCTGCTGCAGCGCGGCCGCCAGCAGCCCGGGCCGGTGGCAGCCGCCGCCCACGATCGCCAGCAGCGAGAAGCGGCGCGGCCCCGCGGCGGGACCGGGAGGAGTCGCCGCCGCCGCCGCCGCCGCCATCTTCGGCGCCCCCCGCTGCCGCGCCGCCCCCAGGCCACGCCCCCTCTGCGTCAGCGCCGCCAAGCCCCGCCCACTGATGTCACCGGCGGCCAATGGGAGGGCTAGGCGCGGGGAGAGAGGGAGGAGGGGGCGCGGCGGGAGGGGAGGGCTTAAAGGGGCGATGGCGGGGTGGGGCCGCCGGGTGGGGCCCGGCTTTACGCTGCAGTGCTGTGCGGTGTGGATGCGATGCGGTGCGGAGATGCAGTGTGGGGTACAGCTGGGGAATGCAGTGCAGCGTGCCGTAGCGCTGGTACGGCCACTGGGAGCAGAGCTGCGCGGGGATGCGCCGTACAGCACTGTGCAGGGCTGCGAGACGCGCTGCAGCCCCTGGGCAATCTGAGCTGTGCAGTGCCGTGCAGTGAAAGCGTGAGCAGTACAATCTGTTAGAGGATGGCGCACAGCCCCATCGCATCCCCACCGCTTCCACCCCACAGCCGGGGTAGCATCACAGAAACCCCCAAAGAGCAGAGCAGGCAACGGGTCCAAAGTGCTTTAATGCGGCCCCCAAGGGTTTGTGAAGGCACTCAGATCAGGGGAGAGGAGCGCATCTCCGTGTGGGGAGGGGGCCGGGGCGCGTGGCCACCCTTCCACACTACATGGCACAGCCTGCCGCATCCCAGCAGCCGGCAGCATCCGTGCTGTCCCCAGCCCTTAGGCGCACCGCAGGATGTAGAGGTTGCAGGCGGTGCCGGGGGGGCAGCTGCAGCGCTTCCCAAAGCGAGCCCCCACCCGCACAGCACAGGGCTCCCCGAGCAGGCACTGTGAGACAGGAGCCGTCACCTTGGAGCCTGGGTGCCCCCCCAGCGCCCGGTGCCCCCCCAGCGCCCGGCCCTACCGGGGGCACCCTGCCCGGCTTCTTGGCCGTCGGCGGCAGCTCCCGGCTCCGCAGCTTCTCCAGCACCTCCTGCAGCGCCTCAACGCCGGCACCTCTGGCATCGACCCCGCGGGGCAGGAGCTCCGTGCGCAGAGAAAGAACAAACAGGTGAAAGCTGCCAATTCCCGCATCTCACTGGATATCCCTTTTCTAACCCAAGCGCTGAGATAAGCCCTAAAAAGCACCCAGATTCCAACACAGAAAAGCAACCAGGAACCCCCTCCTTAAAACCCTGGGAACTTCCCAGCCCCCTCAACGAGGGGGTGCACGCAGCAGGGACCCCAGCCCCCGGCCCCCTACCAGCTCCGGCTCCTCTCGACGTGGGGCTGCCCACAGCCGTTGCTCCCCCCCAGTGCCCATCCGGACGAGGCCGGCGCTGGCTGCGCAGAGCAGGCAGAGCCACGCGGCGCCCATCTTCCCACTGCAGCGTCCATCATCCCCGCTGCGGGGCTCAGCCGCCTTTATTCCCCCCCCCCAGCAGCCCGTGGGTGGTGGGCAAACACCCACTGACGCAGGCAGGGAGGCTCAATCCGTCTGCGGGGGCCTCCCCACTCATTGTCTGTCTGTGGGGTGTTCCCCCTCCCAACCCAACCCCTATGGTGACCGAGGGGAGCCATCCCTGCATTGCCATCCCCTGGGATGTGTATGAGCCACAGAACGGACGTCAGCACTGTTTACAGCCCGAGGCCAATTCCCTGAGCAAACACGGCTGCGGGGAGAGGGGAGGGCTGCACATCTCGGGGGCTGCGGGAGAAGGCAGGAAGGACCCCCCCACAGCACTGCTACACGTCTCACAAACCGCTCTTATTCCAAAGGAGCTGCACGGATAGACGCACAGACGGACGGACAGCCCCACGAGGGCTCCTATACAGACCCACCCCTCACCCCACATCCGTGTGCCCCCCAGCGGGCTGCGCTAAGCTGGCAGGACCCCTCCAAGTCCCCCCTGGGGGTGCGCAGGTCCCACTGCCCGCAGCCCTGGAGCACAGAAAGCGAATGAAGGCCCCCACCCCACGGCCCTGCGCAAGACCACGCTGGTTAAGCCGAAGCCCGCGGCTCGGCCGCCCCACACGTGACCCCAATCCCCGCCCCCTCCCCGCGCGTTGCCCTCTGGGTAACGCAGTCCACACCTCTCACAAAGCGGAAGGGGCGGGGCGCCGCGCCTCCATTTCCCATCGGGCTTCGCGGGATCAACGAGCGGCGGGCAGAGCGCCGCGTGCTGCCGGCGCCTCCTGCTGGCGGGCATTGCTGGAGGACTGACGCAGCGGAGCTCCGGCCGCCAGGGGGCGCCCGAGGCTCGGGGCGGGGGGGGGCGCCCCCTCGATGCACGGAGCTTCCCCCGGGACGAAGCCCCCCCCCCCCCCCCCCCCGTGTGTCCCCCGCTGCCCCGCTCCGATGCGCCTCGCAGCGCCCGCAGTTCCCGTTCCGCGGGGCTGAGATGGGGGGAACAAGGGGGGTTGGGGGGGGGGAGGCAGTTTCGGGGCGGGGGTTTCCCCGCTCCCACGCGCACCCCACGTGGGATCCCCGCGCCGCGCACCAATCACCGCGCCGCTCCCCACGCACGAAGCCAATGAGAGGAGCGGGGGCGGTGCGCGCCGGAGGGCTATAAAAGGAGGCGGCGGAGCGCGAGGTGGCTCAGAGCGATCGCGGAGTGGAACGGAGCGTGGATATCGCGACAGAGGAGATCGCGACAGAAGATATCGCTACTGAGAAGCTGTGATAGCGGCTGCTCCGCCGCTCGGATTACCGCTCGTAGGGCTTCCGTGCCATCCTTTGGATTATATCGCGATATGACCCTGGAGGAGCTGCTGCCGTGCGACAGCCCCAGGTGGGTGCGGGGAACTGCGGGGCTGGGGGGGAGGGATGGGACGGGACGGGACGCGGTGCCGCCGGTGCTGCTGAGCCCCGCACTGATCGCACTGTGCCCCGCAGGATGCGCGCGGTGGGAGCGGCGGTGGAGCGGCTGTTGGCGGCGGCGCAGCGCAGCGCTCGGCTCAGCGTGGGGGTCTACGAGGCCGCCAAGCTGCTGAACGCGTGAGTGTGGGGGCTCGGTTTTTGGGGGGGGGGGGGGTCAGCGCGTTTAATGCGGGCGATTGGGGGGGCGGGGGCGCGTGGAGGAACGGGGGGGGGGGAGGCGGCTCGATGTGAAGACGAGAGATGAACCGCGTGTGTGCGGGTGGGGGGGGGGGGGTGATTTGGGGCTCGGGGGGCTGCGCACCCCCCTGTCTGTATGCATGGTGCGGGTGGGGGCTGCCGAGCTCGGGGAGGGGGGGGCTGCGTCACGTGCGTCCTTGTAACGCCACCCCCCCCGCCCCCGTAGGGACCCCGACAGCGTCGTGCTGTGCGTGTTGGCCACCGACGAGGAGGACGAAGGCGACATCGCCCTGCAGATCCACTTCACGCTGATCCAGGCCTTCTGTTGTGACAATGACATCCACATCGTGCGCGTGGCCGGCATGCGGCGCCTGGCGGCTGTGCTGGGAGAGCCGGCGCCGGGAGCCGAGCCTCGCGATTTGCATTGCCTGCTGGTCACGGTGAGCGCGGGGTGACGCGGGTGCTTCTGAGTCATGTGGGTGTGGGGATGCGGGCCAGGAGCGGCTCCGTGCTGCTGCTGTCGTGCCATCGTTGCATCTCGTGCTGTTGTTGCATCACGGGGATGTCGCTGCGCCGTGATGGCGCCACTGCAGGGCCGTTTGCGGTGCCGCGATGGCGCTGCCACGCTTTGTGCCTTGCAGTCGCTGCGCTTTGTGCCACGGTGGTGCCATCATCAATTCGTGCTGCCGTTGTGCCGCGGTGATGCTGTCACTGTGCCACGTCCCATCGTGCTGTCACAGTGCCATTGCTGTGCCATTGCTGTGCCATAGTCGTGTCATTGTGCCAAGGCATCGCTGTGCCACGGCTGCGCCCCTGTGCCGTGACAGCGCCGTGTCCCATCGTGGTGTCACAGTGCCACGATGCCATCGCCACGCTTTGTGCTGCGGTGTCCCTGTGCCATTGCTGTGCCATTGCTGTGCCATTGCTGTGCCATTGCTGTGCCATTGCTGTGCCATTGCTGTGCCATTGCTGTGCCATTGCTGTGCCATTGCTGTGCCATTGCTGTGCCATTGCTGTGCCATTGCTGTGCCATTGCTGTGCCATGGGGTCCCTGTGCCATCGCCGCTCCATGCACTGTCACCAGCCCTTCCCAGCCATTCACGGTGCCACCTCTGTGCTCTCTCTCCCCAGATGCCCCACGCAGACGCCTGGCAGAGCCACGGTTTGGCCGAGGTGGCGAATTACTGCGCCGAGAGCCGCGACCGCAACCAATGGGTGCCGGTGGTGCGGCTGCAGGAGCGCTGAGCGCCGGGACGGAGAGCGGAGCTGCGGGGAGCACAGAGCCGCCCCAGCGCCCCGAGCACAGACAGGGATTTTTCTGTCCAACCGGAGAGGAACGCGGAGCGCCCGGCGCGGCGGTGGGCACAGCTGTGGGGCTGAGCCCGGGGCAGCCGTGGGGCGCACAGGTCCCGTTTTGGGGGGGGGGTCCCGTTTTGGGGGGTCCCTGTGAGCGCCCGTGCAGCGCTCGGTCCCTTTGGTGATGGAGGAGGAAGGATTCGGCCGAACTTCATCCTGGGACGGCGCAGCGGTGGTGACGTGGATGGACGCGTGATGCTGTTTTTTGGTTTATTTTTTGCACTCGAGCCACTGGGGAGACCCTGCCCCGATCCCACCACAGAGTTTATTCTTGTACTGATCGCAGAACAACTTTTGGTTTTGTTTCGTTTCTTTTTTTTCCAATAAATTTTCTAACCTCACCGCTGTCTGTGTTCATCCCTTCCCACCTCCCCAGCGCAGTGGGTGGAGATTTTAGAGGGGGAAGGGGGGCGTCCCTGCTGTCTCATTTCCCCCACGGGTGGCTTTGGGGTGGGGATGGAGGCGGGGGGTCCCCACCACAACACAGGGCTGGGAAATCCCACACGGAGGTGCCCCAAGGGATCCCCCCACCCACAGCGCCCTCCCACCTGGAATCCCCCCACCCTCAGCGCTCCTGCAGCCCCGGGGATGTAGGAGAAGGGGCTGCCCGCACCCACAACGCCTACAGGGTGTTGGCAGCACCCCGTGCTGAGCTCCTGGAGGAGGGGGACGCCTCCCTGCTGGGGAAACTGAGGCAGTAAGAAGGAGCTCGGGGCAGCCTGCAGTTCACGCGCCGTACAAATGCATGTGAGCGGTGCACGTGATGCGCATGCACGCACCTGACCCCGCTGCGGGGACGCGGTGTCCCTGCAGGGGACTCAGCAGTGGGGCAGCGATGCCACCGTTGGGGACATCGCCCTCCCCGTCCCACATTGCAGCGGCATTGCGGGATGGAGGAGGGGCTGAGTGCCCCCAAACTCATCGCGCCGCTGAGTCAGCGCCACGCGGAGTCCCGGTGACCCCCCGTGCGGGGCGGCCGTTCCCGAACCCCGTCATCAAAGCGCGGCGTCGGGCAGCGCTGAGTCATCGACCCGACGGGGACCCGCAGCGATTCTCCCGCAACTCCGGGCAGAGCGGTGCGGGACACGGCGGGGATAACAGGGCTGCGAGCGGGGAAACCGAGGCACGGAGCCCCGGAGCTGACGGCAACGGAGCGGCTGCGGGTTCTTCCCCCCCCCCCCCCCCGCCTCGCCTTCCCCGCTCGGCCCCCGCGGCGCTGTGTGGGCTCCGCAGAAGCATCTCAGCCATCCCAGGCACGCGGTGGCAGCTGCAGCCCGGCCGGCAGCTTCCCGTGGCGCGGCCGCCGTCCAGGAAAGCCGCACACGAAACCCCCCCCCGGGTCTCACTGCCGGGAAAGGGGGGATTTGAGGGGGGGGGGAGAGGAGGGGAGGCAGCCGCCCCCATTCCGGAACGGGACGCGGCGGTCCGGGGCCGAACCCAACCGGAGCGGTGAGCCGAGGGCAGGAGGTGCTGCAGGGCTGTCGGTGGGGCAGCGCCATGACCCACATCGCAGCGCTGCCCGACCGTTCCAGCACTCCTCCGTTGGGTTCCCACAGTGCCCCCATCCCATCCCACCCCATCCCATCCCATCCCATCCCATCCCATCCCATCCCACCTCATCCCATCCCACCCCATCCCATCCCATCCCATCCCATCCCATCTCATCCCATCCCACCCCATCCCATCCCATCCCATCCCATCCCCATCCCATCCCATCCCATCCCATCCCATCTCATCCCATCCCACCCCATCCCATCCCATCCCCATCCCATCCCCATCCCATCCCCTCCCATCCCATCCCATCCCATCCCATCCCATCCCATCCCATCCCATCCCATCCCATCCCATCCCACCCCATCCCATCCCATCCCATCCCATCCCATCCCTTCCATCCCTTCCATCCCTTCCATCCCTTCCATCCCTTCCATCCCTTCCATCCCATCCCATCCCATCCCACCCCATCCCATCCCCTCCCATCCCATCCCATCCCATCCCATCCCACCCCATCCCACCCCATCCCATCCCATCCCATCCCATCCCATCCCATCCCATCCCATCCCATCCCATCCCATCCCATCCCATCCCTTCCATCCCTTCCATCCCTTCCATCCCTTCCATCCCTTCCATCCCATCCCATCCCACCCCATCCCATCCCATCCCCACACTGTATTCAGGACCCATGGCAAAATGAAAAGTGAGCATTTATTGTGGTATCAATTTCACTTCTGAACGACGGTTCCACGACACTCCACACGGCAGCAGATCTCTATGGCACACAGCAGGAGAACCCCCCCCCCCCCCCTTTCCCCCCCTCCCCATCCACCGACGGCGCTGGACGCCAACGGCAGAGTTTGGCAAACGAGAATCACAGAGCAGAGAGAAATCAAAGAGCGTGGAGTTGGACGGGGATTCTTCCCATGGAGTAAATTCGTTATCTTTAAGTCTTAAAGAGGATTTCATCAGCGCTCCGTGGGGGGAACCCCCCCCTTTTTGTCATCCTCCCCCCCCCCCCCAGCCCTATTTACGGCTCTGCATGGAGGGCAGCACTGAGAAAGGCCCCAAAGTGTGACTTTGTTGTTGTTTTCCTTCTTGGCAAATGCATTCCCCAATGCAAAGCAGCCCTGGGGTCCCTCGCTCCGACCCAGGCGATAGAAAGAAAAAGGGCTGCAGATCCATCAGCGCTCACCCGAGAGATGGGCAAAAAAACAACCCCAAAGATTAAAAACAAGGGGGAAAAAAATAAAAGGAGTTTGGGGGTTTTCTCACCTCGTGAGGAGACACCGACAGCCCCCCAGCAGCCCCAGCCCTGCCCCACAGCACTGCTGTCACCAATGCACCCCCCAGCACAGCAATGGGGCAGCGGCTCTGTGGGGAGGTGACCAGCGGGTGTGCAGCAGGGATTGGAACCTCAGGGATGCACAGACCTATAGGTCTGTGGGACCTATATGGGTCCTACAGACACACATGGGCCCATACGGAACCCCACAGACCCATAGGGACTCACCTGAACCCACATGGGCCCATGGGGACTCACCTGGACCCAAATGGACCCACACAGACCCATATGGACCCAAATGGGCCCATGGAGCCACAAAGACCCATATGGACTCATATGGACCCAAATGGACCCATAGAGTCACACAGACCCATATGGACCCATACGGACCCATGGACCCACAAAGACCCATGTGGACTCATGTAGACCCATATGGACCCAAATGGACCCATGGAGCCACACAGACCTATATGGACTCATATGGACCCAAATGGACCCATAGAGCCACACAGACCCATATGGACCCAAATAGGACCATGGACCCACACAGACCCATATGGACCCAAATAGGACCATGGACCCACACAGACCCATATGGACCCAAATAGGACCATGGACCCACACAGACCCATATGGACTCATATGGACCCATGGAGACACACAGACCTGTAAGGACTCATATGGACCCATATGGGCCCATGGACCCACAAAGACCCATGTGGACTCATATGGATCCATACGGACCCACACAGATCCACAAGGACCCACCTGGTCTCACATGGACCCATACAGACCCACAGACCCACAAGGACCCATACGGACTCTCCTGGACCCCCCTGGGCAGAGCACTGTTGGCAGGCGTGGGGCAGGCAGGGCTGGGGGGGGGGGGGGGGGCACGGAGCTGCTCGCTGCCCCCGATCCGCCAGCTATAGCACCATGCACTGGTCTCTAACATAGAGGAAGAATCAGCAATCTGGAGTAGAAAAATAAGGCTGGAACTGTTCTAGATTAAGGACAGAGGAAACTCCTTCCTCGAAAAGAGAACGCGCCACCGCAGCACAACCTGGAGCAGTGGGGCTGGCGGTCAGAGCACAGCGATGGGGGTTGGGGGAAAGGGGGGGGGGAGAGAGGGGGCAGCGCCAGGGCTGTGGATGTGGGGTGATGTGGGGCTGGGATGGATGCACTCGGCCAGGGGGGAGCCCAGGAGCTGCACCCAGTGCCCCCCCAGCCCTGCTTTCCCCCCCCCCCACATCCCAACTCTCCGTTTCCTCATTGCGATTTACAGAGCTGTGTTTTGGGGCGCTTTGTCGGGGGGGGGGGGGGGTTTGGCCCCATTTCCTACACCCCCCCCCATGGCTGCACCCCCCCAATGCCTTCGCTGTGGACAGAGGGGCTCAGACCCACACCCAGACCCACACTCACGGCTCTGCTCCGCGCTCCCTTCACCCCACGGCCCTTCGCCCATCCACCACCAAACCCTTCCTTCCTCCCCCAACCCCCACCAGCCGCTTTTAAAACCAACCCCCCCCAACCCCCCCCCCAACCCCCAACCCCCTTTTATTTCTTTTGTGTTACTTGGAAATGTTCACCCCCTCGGCTCAGCACCCTCCACCACCACCCCAACCCGCAGCACCCACGGATGGAAGCGCAGCAGCCGATGTTTGGCCTTTACCCCTCGGCGCTGCGCGGTGCCAGCGGGTCCGGCCTGGCCCTGCCTGGGGGGCACAAACTGCAGCTGGGGTGGCTATAGGATGGTGCAGGGCTTTTTGTCCTTAAAGGGGTTCTCGGAGGCTGGCACCCCCACCAGCAGAGGGTCGCTCCGGGCATGCTGCTCACAGTAATTCATCAGCTCCGAAGAGGCTTTGGAGACCTGGAAGGGAGCAGAGAGGGTGAGCAGAGGGGTTGGAGGGGTTGTCCTGAAGGTGAGGGATGAAAAAGGAAAGGAGAAAAACACCCCAGATGTGAGGGATGGGGGCTGCGTGGCTGTCAGGGGCTGTTCCCTATGGCCGTGCCTATTGCAGTGCAGGTCCAGACCACTACAGGGGTCCATAGGGATCCCTGTGCTCTGGGGGTCCCCTGTCCATGGGGGTCCATAGAGATCCCTCTGCTATGGGGATCCCCCCCACTATGGGGTTCCACAGGGGTCTCTGTGCTATGAGGGTCTCTGTGCTATGAGGGTCCACAGGGATCCCTATGCTACTGGGGGTTCATAGAGATCCCTGTGCTATGAGGGGGTCCCCTCCATGGGGGTCCATAGAAGCCTCTCTTCTATGGGGGTCCCTGCGCTATGGGGCTCATAGGGGCCCATGTGCTATGGAGATGCCTCCTCTATGGGGGTCCCTGCGCTATGGGGCTCCATAGGGGCCCATGTGCTATGGAGATGCCTCCTCTATGGGGGTCCCTGTGCTATGGGGCTCCATAGGGGCCCATGTGCTATGGAGATGCCTCCCCTATGGGGATCCCTGTGCTATGGGGCTCCATAGGGGCCCATGTGCTATGGAGATGCCTCCTCTATGGGGATCCCTGTGCTATGGGGCTCATAGGGGCCCATGTGCTATGGAGATGCCTCCTCTATGGGGATCCCTGTGCTATGGGGCTCCATAGGGGCCCATGTGCTATGGAGATGCCTCCTCTATGGGGATCCCTGTGCTATGGGGCTCATAGGGGCCCATGTGCTATGGAGATGCCTCCCCTATGGGGATCCCTGTGCTATGGGGCTCATAGGGGCCCATGTGCTATGGAGATGCCTCTTCTATGGGGGTCCCTGCGCTATGGGGCTCCATAGGGGCCCATGTGCTATGGAGATGCCTCCTCTATGGGGGTCCATGCGCTATGGGGCTCCATAGGGGTCCCTGCTGTTCCTCTCAGGGCCCTGTGCTCACCTTGATGCGCTCGATGCCGGCCTCGATGCGGAGCTGCTCCACCAGCTTGCGGGCCTGAGCGATGTTGTTAGTGGTCGACATCGTCTGCCATCGGCGCCGGGCCCAGCGCTGAGGATCCTGCAGCACAAGGGGCGCAGGGTTGGCACAGCGTGGGGCTGCATCCCCTCCTCACCCCACACGCAGGGGGTCGTGCTGGTGGCTGAAGGCCTCCTGCTTCCAGCTCCCCTCTCCTCGCAGCAGCGCTCGTGTGGGGCTCAGAGAAACGCGCTGCTGGGGGGGGGAAGACGCAAAGGTGGGCAACCGAGGGCTGCGCACAGGGGATGTGTGGCACCGCGAGGTGCTGCAGCTCAGCCCCGCCATGTGGATTTGCCATTTGGCCAATGCCTCTGAGAAGAGCAGGGCCTGCAGGGCAGGGGGCTGCAGGGACGTCAGCGCTGACGGCTGGCGGCGGCTCAATGACCCCGGTGCCACCTGCGACTGCAGCACGGGGCGAACACACAGCGACCCCACGGCGCTGGGAATTCCTGCCGTGCCTCTCATAGCTGCAAGCGGCCGCTCCCAGCAGGGTGAGCAAACACAGCACATCCCAGCCATCACCACTGCTCAGAGCCCGGGATGCAGGGATGTCCCCACAGCAGCACCCAAGGGATGCCCTGCTGCCTGGCTTGGTGACGGAGCCCTGCGTCCCCCCGCCGTCCCGGCAGCTCGGAGCGTTGAGCTGAGCTCAGAGCACGGAGTGACCGCACAGCCTGGAGGTGCTCGGGGGTGGGACGAGGGGGGAACGGCTCAGAACCAAAGCGGGGTGGCTGTGGGTGCAGGCTGGGTGCTGGGGTGGCGCCACGCAGCCCAACGCGGTGCATCGCAGCCCCCAGCCCCGCGCTGGAGGTGACCTCATGCTTTTCTGGAACAGAAGAAGGCTGTTCGGGCGACGGCATTTGCTCCTCGTCTGGGCAGAACAAAGCAGGCTCCACTTTTCTTTTACACTTCCTGCACCAGCAGCTTAACAGCTGAATGAGCCATTGAATTTTTTTCCCCGAGTGCAGCACTTTTTTTTCCCCCTTTTATGTCTTTTTTTTTCCCCCCTTCTTTAAGAGACCTCCTGATTTGTGCGGCTGTGGGACAAAGCTCAGTGAGAGCAGCAGAGCTGGAGCCACCCTGGAGCACGGCAACGGGACGGGGTTGAGCCACCCTGTGCTCACAGCTCAGCTCAGTGCCACCTCCCTGCTCTCTGCTCACCTCTGGGTTTTTTCTCCCTTTTCTCCCCAGCTCTGCATTCAGCCACGCTTGGGTGCAGCTGCAAAAGACACCCAAGCGCTGCACGCACCAGGCTGCACGCCTGCAGCTCAGCTCCGAGCCCGCAGACACGCACACGAGGCTGCACGCTTTGTGCAGCTCAAGCAGGAGCCCAGCAGGTCAGGCTCTCTGCTTCTGTTGCAGCACCTGAGCTCCGAGCAGAGCCTCGGGTGCATTCTGCACACCTGCTGCAAACACCGCCGCTGCAAAACACTCCTGCTGCAAGCACGGGGCAGGGCTGCACTGGTGCCCCAGCTGCAGGGCTGCGGTGCTCGGCTTCAGAAAGCAGCAGCTGGCAGCTCCCGGCCCTTCCCTGCACAGAAGGTGCTGATGCACTCGGCTCACCGTGACCCGGAGCCCTGCAGAGCCCTGAGCTCGGCCCCCATCTGTGCAAACCCCCCAACAGCCCCACGCTGCTCACAGCCCCGCTGCCCCGAGCGGCGCAGCACCGCACAGGGCCACAACCAGGAGCCGTGCAAGGCTGCATGCTGAGGGCCCACGCTTGGCTCCGTGCAGCTCCCAGCTGTGCGGTGACATCAGCCCCTGCAGGCACAACACGGCCATTGTGTGGCGGGGGAAGAGGCTGGAGCCCCTCTGCAGCGCCCCCAGCGCCGTCCTCTTCCTTTGTGCGCGGTGCAAAAAAGAAGCTGTGTTTGTTTGCCACGCTGACTGCAGCCATTATGCACGCGTGCACCCAAACGGCGCTGCAAAGCAGCTAAAAATAGGGGCCAGGCACCACCGAAACCACAGCAGCCATCGTCACCGCGTGGCACAAAGCCCTGGCACTGCTGGGGGGGTCAACGAGGGCTGCCGCCGCGCGCAGCCATTGCACACCATTGCAACACCCAGCAGGGCTGTCCCCAGCTCGCAGGTGAGATCTGGACCCTTCCTTCGCATCACAAGGCACCAATTGCTCAGCAGCAGGCACAGGAAGGCAGCAGCAGTGAATCTGCTCAGCTCACAGCTGCTCACAAGGACGGGGTTTTGTTTTGCTGCTGGTGTTGCACGCTGATGGCACCCGGTGTGCAGAGCAGAGAGCTGCCCTGCAGGAACCCAAACCTGCACAGAGGGTTGGAAGGATCTGATTGGGGACCACGCAAAACCAACGCCCTCCCCATCGGCCAAAAGCACCCTGCAGGTAACCAAGGCTGAGAGACCCAAAGCTGGAGCTCAGCTCTCCATCCCTGTGCTGAGAAACCACTCAGTGCCAACAAACCTTTGGTCCCCAACCCCTCCCCACGGCGTGCAGCTCTGCTGACGCGATGACTGCAGCATCATGTGAGGGTTTGCAATGAGGAGCACTCCCACACGGCCCCGGAATCTGCTGAGGAAGGGGAGGGGGGGGGGGGGGGGGGAAGCTTTCTTTTGTGCCTCTTCCAGGAAGGAGTCACGCAGTGCTGGCGCAGCTCCGGGCTGAGCTCAGGGCTCTGGGAACTGCCCTGGAAAGGCTGAGGCTGGGAACAAAGCGGAGGCTAAAAATGGAAGGTGCAGGGCAGGGCTGTGGCACAGGGCAGGGCAGGGGGATGCTGGGGGTGTGGGACCCTCCTCGGCACTTCCCATCAACTCCTGAGGGGTCAGAGAGCAACGTGTGGGACAACCCAACAGCTTCACATGTGCAGCGCCGGGCACGGGGCCACGCGCACAGCCCGGCACCATGGGGGCAGCCCTGGGCACAGAGCCCCACGCTGCTCCATTCCCACGCTGCGTGAAGGCAACAGCTTTCCTTCCCCATTGCTCAGCTGTGAGCTCCTTCTGCAGCTGCCTGCAAACCTGCAAACAAAGGGAAGGTGGAGGCAAACGCTTTCCTGCAGTGTCACCGCTGCAGCAAGGCAGGAGAAGCAGCACACGGAGCTGTTATGGCAGGGCCACGCAGCCGTTCCCTTCCAGCAGGGAACTGGGAAACTGGGAATGACTTTGTCAGCTGTGGGAGAGCTTTGTCAGCTCAGGCCCTGCAGCTGTGAGCACACAGGGGAGCAGCACAGCACTGACACGCAGAGCTGGGTGCCGAATGCTGCAGATGGAGCACAGTCAGGTCACAGGCTGCACTCTGCAGCTTCTTGCTGGCTTTCAGGTGGGCAGCTTGGGGGCTCTGGTGGGCAGCTTGGGGCTCCCCAGATATCAGCAGCAGCCAGCACAGCACAGTGCACCCAAAGGATCTGCCTGTCAGCTCCACATGCACGGTGCAGAGCTGGAAGCAGAGGGGAAACTGTAAAGTCGTGGCCTGGCAGATCGCTCAGCCCTGGCTGGAAGGTGGAATGCTGATGGGTTCTGGTAGAAAATCCGTGCTGATAAAGACGTGCCGCCCTCCTGGGGGATGTGTCACTCATCTGGGGGACGTTGGACTCAGCTGGGGGTCACATCACCCACCTGCAGGATGTGTCACCCACCCGGGGCTCACATCTGGGGCTCACATCACCCCCCACGGGGCAGCTGCAGGGCTGAACTCCCAGCACCGCGAGCCAAAACTTCCACAGAGCTGTGGAGCATCGGAGAGAACCAGGGACAAAACCAAACCAAAATATTTGTAAAGCACAATGGGATTATTATTATTATTTTTTTTTTTTTCCTTTTTTTTTTTTCCACCACAACGCTTTGGAGGCACCCAGCCAGCACCGCTTCAAAGGGTGCAGAAGCGCGTGGGGCTGACGCTGCTCAGAGCTTTCATGCGAAGCAGAACGCACGAGCTGGGCTCAGCGCAGGGCTGTGGAACGTTCCCAGCACCACACGGTGGCCACGGGGCTGGGATACGTGGGGGGGCCACGCTGGGATGGCAGGGGGACACGTGGGGGGCGCACGGCACGCAGCCCCCTGCCATCCCACCTCAGCACGGCCCGCGAAGGCAGGCGACGCTCGGGGTTTGTTTTGCAGCTGGCTCCTGGCTGTCTGCAGGACCTCATGTGAAGGAGACAGGTCTTAACCAAGCAGGGAGCACAGTTTCCAGCAGCCCTGTTTTGCTAAGGGAGCTAATTGTCAATTCCTCGCATTCCAAGCAGACCTGGTCTCGCTTCCCTGGACTTAACCTCTTCCAGCCTGGCACCAGGAGAGCTGTGCTGCGAAGGACACAGACCTGGAGCTCATCACACTGCTTTTCTGGTGGAGAAGGATCACTTCTCCCCTGCATTCCGTGCTCCTTTGCAGCACAACCCAGTGCAGATGTGGGCAGTGAGCACCGAAAGACAAACCTGAGCTGAGTCGCAGCCACCCGGCGACTCCAGGGCTAAAAGATAAGAGGAGGAAGGCTGGAATTGCTCACCTAGGTTTGCTGGGGTGGCTCAAAGCCACTTTGGTTTCAATTGGAACTGCTGCTAAAACGAGCTCAGGAAGAAACAGCAGAGCCCCAGCACTGTGCATGCTCTTGTCCTGGGCACACGGGCATCTTCCTCCTCCTCCTCCTCCTCCTCCTCCTCCTGATGACACAGCGCTGACCTCATCCAACCTCCACAAATGTAAACACTGCAGTTTGCTCTTCTAAGGCACAAAGCAAGCCCCCCTAATCCCTGGCAGCCGTATGGGAAGTGGGTTTTTATAACCAGGACAGGACAAGAAATAAAGAAAAAATCCCTTAAAGAGAAGTGAACCCAGAAGGCTGCACGCAGGCTCCGCATTCGTTTGCAGATTGCAAACAGGCAAACCTCTGACACATGGCTTTGTGGTGAGAGGTGTCTCCCAGCCCAGCCTGGCTGCACAATCATCAGCCACAGCACTGGAAAACAAAGGCAATAAGTGCACGACAGAAAAGGAAGAAAGCAAAGAGAGCTCATGGAAGCACCCAGAGAGCCGTGACGCAGCACTGCCACCCACGTGGTGGGGAGATGAAGGAAAGG